CCTGGGCCAAGAGGGACCCATTTTGACAATCAAAATTTCCCTCAAAATTTGGGGCCCCCCCTGAAAATTTGCGGATCAAAATTTGGGGGGGCCCGGATGGAAACCTGTTTTTTGGCAAACCCCCCCCCCCCCCCCCGCCCCCTTGCCCTTGTTGGGGTTGTCCTCGACAATGTCCATCAAGCAGGTCGCCTCCAGCAGCGTACGCAGTACTCAGCGGGTTTTGCCCCCCCCCCCCCCTTCCCCCCCCCGCCGCCTTTTATAGAAGCCCCTCAGCCGGCGCGGCGATCCAAGACCGCCGACTGGCCCGGCGTGCAATGAGCACTGAGAGCAAGCCAAGGAGCGCGAAGACAAGTGTGCCAGCCAGAGACACGGGCGCGATTTGTGCGCTTCGATTAATGGGCGCGCCACCATCCACCAGGAAACCAATGCTGGGTTTCTTCCAAAAGTTGACCTTGACGTCACGTTGCGCGTCTTCGACTTTGATCACCTCTGCCACCCCGTCGTAGCTGTCGCTACCACCCCAATTCTCGACGTCCCGCTTCACCTTGTACGTGGTCCAGCCTGGCTGCCGCTCAATCGTGACCTGCGCAACCTCATCTGAAGCAAATTGTTGCTCGGTGCAGCACCAGCAGCTCGGCGATTCCCCGGCTGTGCTGGGGACAAAAACAGAATAGATGCCGAGGCACTCGATGCTGCCTCTCACAGCCGCATCACAAGTGGCGTTCGGCAGTTCCGTCGGCGCTGCGGGCGGCAGTGGCACATTCTTTGGCCTTTTCCGCTCTGGACAGCCGCCCAGAGAGTTGAGCTTGTAGCCTGGCCAAGTGCCCGTTGTGATCTTTGCCTCTGCTTTGGCTATAGCCGCCGCCTCCTCCTCCTCGGTCCAGAGCGGGCCCCAGTCCCATTCCCCGTCATCGTCCCACCCGACCCCGCCCACCGAGCCTCCGAAACCGCCCCAAAAGCCGAGCGGCATGACGCCCCCGACCAGACAGAGGCCGATCAGCATGCTGCTTCCGGCCTCTGTGGTAAAACGCTTTGATATTTGTCGCGCTCGCTTTTCTTCTCGACCGTTTTAGCCCCAACTGATCATGAAAGGGGGGACGTGGCCCTGAGTTATGTGTACGCCAACTGAGGGTGTGTGGCAGCCAAGCTGGCTATGTGTCTTGTGAGCTTGTTTGTGTCTGTGTGTCGCTCGTGCGTCTCGTCATCATCTGTCTCGCGTCCACCCATACCGAGAGAAGAACTCTCTCCCCATATCGCGTTGGTGTCCAGTCCGAGCCTGGCTGTTCTTCACCTTCCTAACTAACTAACTGATCATGTCCGTTCTCCCCCTCTGGACCAAAATCTATCTTCGGGTATGTTCGTAGAGCCGCATGACTGAATATCTCGAGCGACTTCTTTCTTGTTCCCCGACGACGCTTGTTCTCCGAGATAGATGTGTGTGGTCCTACCTACTTACTAAGATCTAAGTAAGGAGGAGAAGAACAGCCAGGCTCGGACTGACACCGGCGCGGCGACAGGCAGGAGTGACGGCACTACCCCCCCCCCCCCTTCGCCCTCCCCTCGCGACTTGCTTGGGTAGTTCACATAAGCGCCACAACCCCGGGCCCGAACGAAATCGCACAGAGACATGCATGCATGCGTAGAGTTCACACATCACAGCTCTGGACCAGGTGCTTGATTACGTTACCGGATCCCAGCGATAAGCTCCCGAATTCCGGAATCCGGCCGCCGATTCCGTTCCCATGCAGGTGTCATCATGCATTTCCTATAAGGAAACGACCATCAGGAAACGACCATCTGTAGAGGCAATCGCCGTCCGGAGGCTTCCTTCGGTCGTCCATTGCTGCGATTTCGCCGTCGTAGTGGCCGTCGCCCGAGATGACGGCATCCGAGGCCGGGTCCTCGGGGGAGGAGGTGACAGGGGAGGTAATGACGCGGGAGGAAGAGCCGAAGCAAGCGGACTCTTCAGACCCGCCAGACAGTGATGATGATGGCATTGATCGTGCAGGCGCATTTGATGTGGAGAGCCCGAGCCGGTTTGGAGCGCCGCCCAAGCACAGTGGTTGTAACTCCAACACGCCAGGGAACAAATTCCGGATCAAGAGCAACCAGATGCGGAACCGGTCCGTCTCACACCCGAATCTCTCCAGCGAGGCCCCCAACAGTGGCCTGCAGACAGCCCCGAGGCGGCGGCTGATTGGGTTTGGGTCCAAGCTGCCAGGGCAGCAGGAAATGGCGGCTCTCCGGGCGCGGCAAGCGGCAGCCGAGCTGCTTCCCGCCATGCTTACCTCCGCTCTCTTCGCTACGCTCCTGCTGCTGCACCTGGGCCGCGTCCTCGCCTGCAGCTCGGGCACGCCGCAAAGCCTGAGCGCGCTGATGCCAAGGAACTGGGACTGGAAGTGCGTCGGGGACCCGATCATGAATCGCCGCTTCGTCCCATTGCACGCGCTTGCTGTCTGCGTCTTCTGCACCCGCTTCGTGCTCGAGCTGCGGAGCTGCTTTCAGTTCCTGCGCCGCAGCTGGAGGCTGCGCGCCTCGGATACAGCGCAGGATGCAGCGATGCGGCTGGGTGCGCCGACAGCGCCCCTGCGACCTAGCCTACACACGCAGCGAGTCCCCGCTACCCCTCACCCCTCCACCCCCCCCCCCCCCCCCCACCCCCCCCACCCCACCCCCCCACCCCCCCCACCCCTCTCACCGCCTCGATCACGGCGTGCAGGGGAGAAGCTCGAGCAGTGGCGTTCCCACGCGGCAAGCGTTGGCCAAGACAGCACCAAGGTGCTGCTCGCGCGGCTCGCGGAGGTCTTCATCGCAGTGTACACTCTTTGCCTCTTCCCACCCATCGAGGATATCACATACGCACCCAGCTCGGAGCCGTCGATCGTAAAGTTGACCCCGGGCCCGTCGCGTCCTTGCGTGGACACGTCCAACCAATGCGGTGACTGGGCTAAAGCGGGCGAGTGCGAGAAGAACCCGCGCTTCATGCTGAGGACGTGCTCAAAAGCGTGCGGCGGGTGCGGCGCGACAACGTCCGCCCCCCAGCCCACCGTCGAAGACCGCGAACCGTGGTGGCTCGGGACTGAATACTTCTACGAGCCGTGGCCTGAGGAGGCCCCTCGGACGGTCGCCTTGTTCGCTGGGAGCCTGCTGCTGGGGCTGGCTGCCTTGAGGCTGCTCGCGCCGCCGCGTGCTGTGCAGACGGCGCGCGGCTCCGCGCATTCCATTCGTACCCCGCCAGCTAACGACCCTGAGCCCGTCTTGCCTCCCGCCCCCTCTCAGATCCTCATCGGCCCTGCGCACTACTTGCTGCTGATCGCGCAGCTCATCCTTGCGGTCGGCACGGCGCTCTGCCGCGCGCCCGCCGTAGCGTGTGCCATCATCAGCGGCGCCGCAAACGCAATCCGCTGCCGCATCATCATGTTCCTCGGCGGAACAGCTCCCGCCGTGGCTGAGGAAAAGGCTGCTACCCGGGTGCCGAGCCCTGCGAGGTCGCACAGCGAGCCCTCGCCGCGACGGCGCCTGAGCAGGTCATCGAACCAGACCCCGAGGAAGGCAAGGCTCAAGTCGCCGCCCGTGATGACGGAGGCCGATGTGACCGACTGCAGCAGCTCTTCCCTCACGGCCGATGAGGTCTCTAAAGACAAATGATGATCCCCTCTGTGCCGAGTATTGCATGAAAAACGCAAAAACCAAGTAGTCTTGGGTGTAGCCTAGCTTGGGTGCCGGGTGTACTTTCTTTCTTTTGAAATGCTGCGGGGAGTTTTCTCTGGCTATCCCCCAAAATAAAGAAATCGACCCGAAATCGCCTCTCCAGTGAAAACACTCTCCCCACAAGTGTGTCTCAAGCCGCGGTGTTCTGGCTACTGGTGCTTAGAGGTGCCGAGAGGTCTGTAACCTAAGGTCTCAGTGCAAGGTCTAGGCGGAAGGACTGTGGCTGCAGGAGCAGGTACCCATCACGGTGTTCACGCATCACCCCATCAGGCATCAGCCATCACTTTTACCTGTGTGTGGGGTGAATCAGAGATTTGTGTCGTTACGCAGCCCAGGGATTTTTGTTTGAGTTTCCCAAGTTTTAGGGGGGTAGGTAGGTACTAGGTAGTCGTGCTCGTGGGGCCCGGCAAAAAAGTCGCAGTCTCAGCCTGCAATTCTTCTTCTCGTGTGCGAGGTCTCGTAAAATTCTTCTTCTGGCGGACGTGCTATACAGAACAAGCTGACGCGGGCCCAATACCTCGATGAGGTGACTTCGACCACTAAGAACTGGCTGGGGCTGCAGAAGCCAGAAGCAGCGTATCTCGGTCGTTCTTCACACGGCAATCGCAGAGCAGATTGTGAACGAGCTTGCCTGTGGCGGGGGCGGGCGGGTGCACGGAGCTAAGTGCCTCGCCGCCCTCGCGGGAGTCGCTTAGGCGGCTCCCGAGTGTACCTGTGTTAGTCCCAGTGGCCCAGTGCGCGCCAGTCCCGTGCTTTGTAAAATTCTTCCCAGGTGTAGTTTATTTTTGCTTGGCCGGCACTCATGATGAAATTCTGCAAAACCCCGACCGGCCCCTGCCCTGCCCCTACCTACCTACCTACCTACCTACCTACCTACCCTACTTATGGGAAACTCAAAAAGAAATCACGGGATGGGTGAAGGTGGGGTACTATACCAACTAAAGTGATGGGTTGGTGGTACTCTCCTGCAACCACAGTCCTTCCTGTGACATGGCAGGCCACTCTCAAGCCCTATACATGCATGCATCAATCAGTCAGATCACCCACTTGGGGAGGGTTGACATCGTGGTTTCCGCGGAAAATTTCTTTTTAAAAGTCCAGCGTGAAGAGAGGGAAAACCCCGACGCGAGGGCCGAGACCTACCCTACCTACCCCGTCATCAGTGCCGCCGAAGGAAAAATAATACTCAGTGTACCCCATGTATCTTTGTAAGTATCGAGGTCTCGTGACTCGCGGCGAGCCGAGCCAGGCCACGGCGGGGGGCTCGGCCTGCTGAGAGAAGACCTTCCCCGACGGCAGTGACAATTTACCCGACATCAATCTTCGACGGCAAGCTCGAGAACTGCGCCTCCAAAGTCGCCCAGATTCGCCTCTCGCGGCGCGCTGAGTTAGTATCGCCGGTGCGCCAGCCGGCTCTGCTCCACAGCAGGGCATGCCTGACTGGCTCCTGCTAGCCGTGCGTCCTGGTGGCATCCATTGCCAGCTCAGGTAGCCTCAGGAGGTCGCCTCGCGCACAACTCGGCGCCGCACAGCACCGCTCCGCGTTACTACCGAGTTAGTATCGTCGACCCACAGAGACTGCTCTTCTGTAGGTGGAGCCGACAAACGCCGGCCGGGTCGCCCCCATCGCCGCCGCCGGGGCGGCGGCGGCCTCGGCGGACCATCCGGCGCGCCGCGCGCCCGACGGGGAGGTGTTCACCACTCCTGGCTCCTCACCCCGCCACGCCTTCGTGCAGACGCCGTGGCACCCGCCTCAGGCGCCGCTCGGACTCGGTTGACGGCCGCCCAAGTGCTTGGCTCGTGCCCAGCCGACCGGCAGGCGATGCCCACTCGCTGCTAGGCTAATCTCGGGCTGTCCGGCGTCAGTGTGGTGCCGTGAGGGGCGCCGCCCCCAAAACTACGACTATTAGTACCGAGCGGGGGCAGTGCATTTAATTCTGTCAAAAATCGAAATGTGCTCCGTGGGACGTATTGGGCTAGGATCATACGTCCGGGAGGCCCCCCATGCGTGCCGCAACGACCCGCAGTTCTGGTACCACTCTGTTCACGTTCACAGCTCTTAAGTGTGCCATAACTCCGATCATGAGGTAGACGCCTGTGCAGCCAGCCACAGGTGGACAGCAATGTCAATGTCCCAGAACGTTAGCCTGCCACAGATCTTCTTGGTCGGAGTTGGCTACTGCCGCGAGTCACGCAGCCTCGCCCACGTCAACTCGTGGGACGATACGATTGAGTCATGCCTTGACCGGCACGACTGTATCGCCCGCTGCTATGCCTTCCGGAGCTGTGTCGCTGTGGCGTGGGCCGCGACGCCCAAGTCCGACCACTCCCAGTGTCGTGAGCTAGGAAAGCCGCGATGCGTCAACTACATCACCTACTCGGGGCAGCTTGCTGGAGGAACCGACTCCCACGCCCGAGAGTACGAGTGCCTGAGCCGGTACGCGGCCCTGCCGGTCGCGCCCTCGCTGCCTCCTATGCCGTCGCCGCCGCGGCCGCCTGTGCGCCCGCCACCCGCGCCCGTCGTGCGGGCTCCGGCTGACATCACTGGCATCGTGAGCCTCGCCGTGTGCGTCCTCCTGCTCTACCTCGTGCTCGAGGCGGTGCGGCCAATGCCGCTGTCCGGAGAGCAGGAGGCGGCGATCCGCGACGTCTTCCGCACCTTTGACAAGGACCGCTCGGGTGCATGCCGCCACCAGGAAGCCGCAGCATCCTCGCCCACGGTCTCATTGCGACCCCCGCCGCCGCCCGCCTGCCGCCGCAGGCACAATGGATGCCAAGGAGGTGAGCAGGGCGTTGGAGGCGATGGGACTCGACCTCAGCCGGCAGGAGGCGAAGGGGGTGCTAATGCAGCTCGACAAGGACGGCAGCGGTGCGCTCTCCTTCTCCGAGTTCCGCACCTTGATGCACTCAGCGTGTGGCGGGCTGCGCGGGCTGCCATCGCTACGGAAGAATCTGCAGCGGCTCAAGACCGGGCTCGTGTGATGCGGGCTCGGCGCGCGCGGCCAGTGTGAGATCATTCTCATCGGCCGCCGTCCCGTGGCCATCGCCGACGGCATGACCATGATGGAAACGCTGAGACTTGAAATGTGCATGTTGCATGAGAAAATGTGCTGAACCTGGCATACACTCTATACGTGTGTCTTAAACACAGACGAGTAGTACTGTATTACTGACTGACGTATTGCTGTATTGCTGCTGAGTACTCGTGCCGCCGATCTTTGCCGATCTCCGCCAAGCTGAAGTGCTCCGCGCCAATCTCGCCGCCAATCTCGACACAGGCACGTGGGAGTCGCGAAAGCTCGCCTTCGGCTTCGCGCGAAGCCGAAGCCGTCTCTCGCACCTCTGCCAGAGCTCATGCTCTAGCCCATGCTCTAGCTGCAGCGCAACATCACCTCTCATCTCTCCTCGGATGCGCCACAGCGACACGAAAACTGAGCAAGCAGATGGTGGCTAGCCGGATCACCTTCACTACGTCACTTTTCTTGCCGCCTCGCCTCCACTTCTACGCTCTCCTCGTGCTGCAGCTTCATGCTACACGCGAACAGCGCGGTGGCTGTTAAGGCCATCAGGGCTCCGAAGCTGCGGTACATGGACCTCTCATTGGAGTTGATCGCCTCTGTTCGCTCCTCGGAATTCAGCCACTCGGGATCAGGGCGAGAGGCCGTCGGCGGATGCGACGGCGCGGCGGCGGCAGCCTCAGCGGCGGAGGGCGTTCTCGAAACTCCACGCACACGCGTTGCGAGGCAGCGGCGTGGTGCCCGCAGCATGTGCTATGGGATACGTCCCTATTCACAGCAGTGTGAAGGGGGCCCGGGGTTGTGCGTTTACGTGAAGGTAGCGATCCTGCATTTTCTTCTATCAGTGTGCGTACGTCCCAGTATGGATTGGTGGTGCGTGACAACGATTGCAGACCGATTGTGAATTGCATGAAATCACTCTGAGACTGCGTCCAACGAACTCGGGAGCCGCGTCGCGGAAAGGGGGGAAACCCAAAAGACGCGTCGCTCGCACTCCGCACTAGAAAAGTCCGCTCAGTGTGCTCAGTGTGCTCAGAAAGCGCCGCATATGTGCATATGTATTTATTGTCTTGAGGGTTCTGGCTCCGAGCAGGTCATGGGAGATCGCGTTTCTACGGACACCCCTTACCCAGTAAACGGAGCGAGTTGCAGGATCTTTGAGCAGCGTTCCGCCCCTTCCGGCATCCGGGTGGTCGGCGACCGCTAAAGCCGTAGCAAGCAGCGCGCGTGCCGCGCGGGTCCTTCCCCTCCGACACGTTTACAGCTTTGTGTTTTCCTCTGCTTTCTCTCTCTCAACAGACCACAAAGCTCATAACGACCAAAACACCTCTCTCTTCTTCTTACGGCCGGGCAATCTGGGCGTGGGCCATACACAAAAGGCGTAAAGGCCTCGTCAACCCGACAGCTCCTGGCTCACCTTTTTGAATGCTGCCAGGCCAGCATCACAATCCTCCTTGCTGAAGCTCGCCGAGACTATGACGCGCACCCTAGCCGTGCCCTTGGGAACCATCGGGAAGCAGATCGCGGAGGCGAACACGCCCTCCTCAAATAGCTTCGCGCTGAAAGACCTCGCCAGATCCTCATCGCGGAGCATGACGGGGATGATGGGCGTCTCGGAGTGGCCAATGTCGAAGCCGAGGTCGGTGAACCCCTTACGCAGGTAGTCCACATTCCCCCAGAGCTTCTGCACCAGGTGCTCGGACTCGCCCAACATAGTGACAGCTTCCAGCAGCGCGGCGGTGTCCGGGATGGTCAGCGCAATGGAGAACAGCCGTTGCCGAGCTCCCATCAGGTAGCAATCGATCAGCGGCTGCTTGGCGGCGATGAAGCCGCCCATGACGGAGAAGGCCTTCGACAGACTACCAATCTCGATGTCCACCTCGCCCTCGAGCCCAAAGTGGTTCACGAGACCCCGCCCGCCCTTGCCAAGCACTCCTTCCCCGTGTGCGTCGTCCACCATCGTCAGCGCATCGTACTTTTTGGCCAGCTCAACTATCTTCGGCAGTGGGGCCAGATCTCCATCCATCGAAAACACGCCGTCTGTGATGATCAATATGAGAGGGTGCTCTCCGTTGGGCTTGGGCTTCTTTTGGAGCTCCGACGCCGCGGCGAGCTTTGACTCTAGGTCGCTCATGTCGGAGTGCGCGTAAGCAAACTTGTTGCGCACCCCGGCCACCCGCACGGCGTCGATGATCGACGCGTGGTTCAGTTGATCGCTTACCACGATGTCATCCTTGTCCATGATCGTCTGCACCGCGGACGCGTTGGCTGCGTAGGCGCTGCTGAAGCACACCGCAGCCTCGGTGCCTTTGAAGTGTGCAATCTCTCGCTCGAGCTCGACGTGGAGGGCGTGGGTGCCCGCCAGAGTACGATAGCCGGTCCCCATGCCGTACTTCTCGATCGCGGCCTGCGCTGCCTGTTTGAGCCGCGGCTCTTCCGCAAATCCCAAGTAGTGGGACGAGCAGAAGTTGAGATACGACTTGCCCTCGATCTCAAGGTGAGCTCCCTGGCCCGAGCTGACGACGCGAGGGACGGTCTTGAGCGCCTGGGCTGCGCTGAGCTTGTTCCAGAATTTTGCTGTCGTGGCCATGGTGGTCGCGGCGGCGAAAAGGACGTTCAAGGCGAACCATCGTCGCACGAAAAGAAATCAGATTTCGATCCGCTGTCAGGAAAATCCATCTCGCTGGCCTCTCCGCAGGCCCCCCCGACCGCGTCGAACTCATCGGCGCGGGCTCTCTCGGCGACGGGACCGGCCCCAGCTTCGGCTGAGGGCTGACAAGCTGCCGAGCCCAAATCACTGTGATCTGTGTGAGAGTGGTGATTTCTTGTAGAAGGTGGAGGGGAGAGAGCTTACCGGCGGGGCATGCAGTAGACATATAGATTACTAATCCTACGCACAGCAAGTACCCTACAGGGGTCCCGACCATGCGGAATCGACCCTATCCAGTGCTCAAGTGCTCAAGTACCCTACAAAACACGCGCTGCGTGCGCACAGGGCCAGCGCTATCAACCATGCAATGGGGTGCGCGGCGGCTAATACTCAACAATCATGCAGGGTCGGAGCTCCACGCTCCACCAAACGGGCGGCTCTATGAACATTGATCATTGTTTCCCGACCGCTCACGCCGAGCGGCTCACCGGCCGAGCTCGACCCAAGGCCTTCTGTTGTATCTTTCTTTCTTTTCTTTTGCCGGTGGTGTGCTTGCGTGAGCCAGTCCACGCCCTTGTCGTGCTAGTGCTGTGGAGAAGTAGGTATTTTAAGAATTCTTTTTCTTGAGCCATAGAGAGAAAGAGAGAAATTTATTGAAATCGCGGAGAAGGAGGCCTGTGAAGGGGAACGGGTAATCACACCGTAAAATGACAGGCACGTTGTGCTGGGTTGTTGCGAGTATGAACAAAAGCGTCGAAAATTTTCTCGAGTTTGAGGCCCACAGCCGGCGCGCGCTGCCAGGAAGCACCGCTCGCGTGTCGGCCGCACTCCCTGGCACCCAGGGAGTGCGGCCGACCGACCAGACCGAGTAGGCTCGACGCCGCGCTCGCTGTGGGGCTGCCACAAACTCGCCGCCGAGCATGCCACCGAAGGCGTCCCGTCGGAGGTGATGGAGTTTGAGACCTGAGGCTGCGGAGGTGACGCCTGAGGTACCGGCCCGTGCACAGCGACTCAGCCGGCGACCGCCACGGGCTCAGACGAGACTTGTCGACGCGTTCCGGCTCAGCTTCACCGTGGTCATCGGGCGTCTGTCGACGTCAGGACCACCCATACAGCTCGCGGGTTTGAGGTCGCAAGAGCCAAGACGGTGGCGTTTGGACATCCCAACCATCACACAAGACAGCCTGTAGGTGATGGCGGGACGGCGCAGTGTTTGTGGCACTCGGCAGTAGGCACCCGCGGCACGGCCCCGCTGTCGGCTCTCGCGGGCTGCGGAACCGGCCCCAGAACGGGACGGTCCGGGCGAGTGTGGCAGCTCCTGCGCTAGTATGGGCACCCTCTATCATAGCACTACTTATCCTGGTCATTAGAGCTGCCAGGGATAGCGTCAGGAGCCGGTAGGAGTCAAAACCCCTCATATATTTGAGACATCGTGGGGCTAAGGACGACGATAAATATTGATTCTCGCCCCTCTAACTATTGATATTGATTATTGACAGCATCCCCTCTAACTATTGACAATATATTGACATATTGATCGCTGATTTTAATCTCCAAGAGCACCACATGTCGACACTTGTCCCAAACATCGCCTAGATGTGGGCTGAAATCGAAATACGAAAAAAATACGAGTTCAAGGCGATTTTTAATGCGGTTTAAGCGATTTCGAAGCGATTTTGGCCCGTTTTTAACGATTTAGAGCCACTTTCAAGCCCAGGATGGACCCACCTGCTGAGGGAGGGTGTGTAGAGGATGTAGAGTGTAGAGCGCTGTAGAGCTGTAGAGATGTAGAGCGCTCTGGAGCGCTGTAGACAGTAGAGCTCTACATCCGCCGCGTGACGAACTGCGTGCGTTGTAGAGCGATGTAGAGGCGCTCTACAACGTGAAATCTCTACAACAAACTCTACATCAAAAGCGGCGAACGAGGCACGGTCGCTCTCCGACATGAGGCGCGTTGCACTTGCCAGTGCTGCCCTGGCCTTCTGTCTACCCGCCCAATGAGTGGCAGGTGCCTCTGCTGCTATGGCATGCCTCACGGCTGCGACTGGCCGGCGCCTCGGCGCGTCAGCTCGGCTCGGCGTAGTGATAGTGGCCAGCGCAACTTGCCTGGACTCAACGCTCAGCCAGGAGCTCCCGCACGCGCTGGCGCGAGTCATGGCGCATGCAATGCGCCTGAATGCTCGCCTCGCCTCGCGCAAATGCGACCGTCCTCGCAGCCGACAGTCCACCGCCTGCTAAAGAAGCACAGCGACGAATGCGGCACCGGCGACGTATGGCAGGCTGGTCATGACGCAGTTATAGGGTGTTGTGTGCCGTCAGAGTGACTCTCTGTGTAGTCAGGGCCGTCCATCAGAGCTCCAGTAAGCTGGGAGACACCCCATTAGCGCGGCTCGACCTCTTTAAGCCACTGCCTTCCCGGCGGTTTGGCTGTAGAGCCTCTACAACAAACTCTACAGCAAAATCGCGCTCTACATCGCTCTACAACGCACGCAGTTCGTCACGCGGCGGATGTAGAGCTCTACAGCTCTACAGCGCTCTACATCTCTACAGCTCTACAGCGCTCTACACTCTACATCCTCTACACCCTCCCTCAGCCCACCTGACGGTCCTGACCAGCCCAGGCCCAGCCTCTCCTCTAACTATTGCCATATACATTGATATTGATCGCCTCTCTAACTATTGGAGCAATATATTCAATATTTATCGTCGTCCCCTTACGTGAGGCCCAGAGAGTATACTCGCACAACGAGCCCACAGTGATTTCTCTCTTTACTCTTCTTCCCTAGCTTCTTCTCCCGTGTCGCGTGTGCCGTGAGCCCTTCTTTTTGGCGTTTTGCGCGTCTCAATGTCGATACGACCGGCGGTCAATATATCCTACTACGCTCACAGACCCCACCGGACACGCGCCTGTCGCACTCGTGCGGCGGCCACTGCATCCCAGCGCCTGGGGCGAGCAGACAGGCTAAATACGAGAGGTCCACTCAGACTCTCCATCTCTCTGGTTGCGTCACGCCGACCCACGCTCCGGTTTCATCGCATGCAAACCGTACAGCCAGTCGTCGTCGTTGCCGAGGTAGAGCTCCTCCTGTGCGCCCGCCTCGTCGAGCGCGTAATCGAAGCGCACCGAGAGACCACGCTTGCCCGACTGGCAGCCGCTCGAGTCGATGACGTGGCCCGAATACGGTACGTCGCGTGGCGGCTCGCCCTCGGCGCCCTCCTCCTCATACCACGCGGTCACCCGACGGCCCATCGCCTCGGCCGGAGTGAGCCCGTGCAAATCGACGAATGGCGCGGCGCTGAGGCGCTCGGACTTCCACGAGCCGTCGAGCTGCGGCTGCAGAGAGACGAGCTGGCCTGTGGGCCGGAGGGGGGAGGGGGGGGGGGGGGTTACTGTGGTAGTCTAGGGCGCGTGCTGCTCGTGACAGTCGCCTGCAACAATCGCACGCAACTGGCAGCCGTCCGGCGACTCGGAGCACCATTCGAGCAGCGGGAGCGGCGACCCACGGGACGCGGCAAACTCGACCTCGCACACTCTCGGCCGGAAGCGGCCGCCGCCGCGCCCCAGCCGCGCGCTCGGCACGGGTGCCCTCTTGCCCGCCGCGGGCGGCTCGAGCGCCTTTTGAAGCGCCTCCCAGCCGCAGCCAACCTCATCTAGCAACGTGAGGGACGAAGCGACGGCCGCCACGCTCGTCGCTCCCGCCACTTCGCCGCGCCACCAGCCAGCGCGCTCCTGGCCCCACAAGCGCGAGCGACCGGCCGCGCTGATGTTCGCCTCGAGCACTAGCAGCGCCTACGGGACGCGACGCGACGCGTTGGCGGGGGTAGTTGCGCCGAAGCGCCGCAGCCTCGGCGGGAAGGGGAGCACCGCCCCGAACTCGGCCGTGTGGGCGGCCGCCGCGACGAACTCCGTCCACACCGGCCGCAGGGGCGGGTGGTCGGCCCAGCAAGCCGCCGCAGAGGCGAGGCGCTCCTCCAGCTCCTGCGACGAGGGTCCCCACCGTGTCGGTGGAGGAGAGGGGGAAGGGGAGGAGAGGGGGAGGGGGAGGGGGGGGGGAGAAGGAGAGGGGGGGGGGGGGGGCCAAAGGGGGGGGGAAAAGGGGAAAAGGCACCCCGCCCGACTCGCGCCTGCAGCGCGGCGCGCAGCCGCTCGAGGGACGGGGCGATGCTCGGGTGCGGGCGGCGCAACGCAGCGACGGCTGGAGTACGCAATGCCTCGGTCGCCCGGCGGAGCTGCTGCTGCTGCTGCTGCTGCTGCTGCCGCGCCTGCGCTTCCGCCAAGCTGCTGCCCGCGCCGTCGGCGGGCTGCTCGGCGGCGTGCAGCTCGCACTGCTGGGCCACCGCCGCGGCGAGCGCCTCGACACGCCTGGCGGCGGCGGCGGCCTCCGCCTCCTCGCCCTCGCGCGGCATGACACGCGTGTACAGCTCGGGCAGAGTCGGGCTCGCGGCGACAGCGGCGGCGGCACGCGAGTGCTCCCGCCCCTGCTCCCGGCCACGCTCCACTCCTCCGGCCGGCGCCGGCGGACCAGCCTGGGCCATGACGTCCGCAGCCTTGCCGTCCGCCGCCTGAAAGCGCGAGATGGCGGAGGTATGGGACGAGGGTTCTCGGCGAGGGGCTGCGCGACGCCACCCGGAGGCGTCGCCTTGCCATCTGGCGGTGGCGCGGCGGTGTCATGTGCGGCGGCGGCGCCGTCGCCAGAGGCGTCGGGCTCGCGGCCCTCCTCGAGCGGCACCTCCTCGAGCGGCCTGGCCACGCGCAACACCGACTGCCTCAGCGGGCCCTCGCGCACTCCGTCGGGGTGGAGCGCGCACACGAGCTGCGCGAGGGCCCGCGGCCCGGAGAGGGCCTCCCAGCTCGCGGCGGAGCCGGCGAGCGAGACGGGCGACTGCACGAGCAGGCTGCCGGAGCTGCGCCCGCCCAGCTGGCGGTACGTGCGCCCGTGCCGGTCCGTGCCGAGCAGGTCGGCGCGCAAGGCGACGTTGTCGAGGATCTCGTCGGTGTCGAGCTTCAGCCGGCGGTACTTGGCCACCGCCGCCTCGTGCTCGGCGATGGTGGCCCGCATCTCCGCCTCGGACTCCTTGCCTTCCTTGGCTGCCGCCGCCCTCGGCCGGCCTCGCGAGCTGGCCGAGCCAATCATCTTGCCGAGCAGCTCCTGCAGCCGGAAGCGCGCGGAGTGGAGCGCCGCCGCCGCTTTGTCCTCCTGCTCGACCAGCGCCGCGCGGTCACGCCGCTTGGCCGCGGCGAACTCGGCCCTGCGGTCGAGGTGGTCGCGCAGTCGCTCCGACTGGAGCGCGCGGTCGGCGAGCCAGGCGAGCACCTCGACCCTCTGGCAGGGGGTGAGGTCGGAGTACTCGCCCTTTGCAAGGGCGGCCGACACCTCGTCCCTGCGCTCGCAGTACACGCTGAAGTCGTCCGAGACGTCGATGAGCTGCGCGGTGAGGGCCGGCCACGTGAGCGGCAGCCGCGGCGACTGCACAGCTCTCACCCACGCGCCCCACTCGTCTAGCCCCTCGTAGTCCTGCGCCACCGCCTTGAGCATCGCGCAGTGCAGCTCGGCCGCCAGCGAGTAGTCGAGCGCGCCGGCGCACCGCACCGCGTTGGCGAGCGCGGCGAGGGGGAGGGAGCGGAGGCGGAGGCGGAGGGCGGGCCCCAGCCGGGCAGAGAGGTCCCACAGCATTAGCAGCCTGGAGGCGAGGGCGGCACGGCGCTCAGCGGGCAGGGGTGCGAGAGCGAGCAGCCGAGGGCGGCGGGCAGACGCCTCGTGCAAGCGGCGTACGGGAGTTCGACGGAGAGGCGGAGGGGCTGAGGCTGCGGCAGGTCGGGCAGCGGCGGCAGCCGCGCCGGCGGCGGCCCGTGAAGCGTGGGCGGGTAGACAAACGAGGGCGGCGGGGGAGCGACCCCCGGCGCCGGCTCGGGTGGCGGGAGAGAGCGCGACGCGGCGACGAGGTAGGCGCGGTAGTCGGCCTCCCTCTCGATCAGCTTCGCGTCCTCCATCGGAAAGGAGATCGGGAAGGAGAGCCTGCGGAGGAGACTCGCCCCCTCGTGGGAGTGGAGGCGCGTGCGAGAGTGCCCGCCCTCTACGAGGGGACGGAGGCGCCTCTTTCCGCTGCCTCCGCCGCCGCCGCCGCCGCCGCCTCCCCCCTCAGCCGCGGGCGACCCAGCCGCCGCCTCCGACGACTTGTCGGCCGCCCGCCCCTCGTCCCCGTCGCCCGCTCCGTTGGCGGCACGCTCCTCCATGGACGCGTCCATGGACACGTCCCGCGACACGGCCCGCGGCGACAGCTCGGGCTTCGCGGGAGAGACGGACTTGCGTCCGGGCCGCGCCGCCGCCATCGCAGCCTTCCTCTCCTGGATCGCCTGCGCACTCGAGCGGGGCAGCGGTCGGGACTGAAGGGGGGAAGGGGGGGGGGGGGGGGGCCTGCCCGGCGGGTACCCGGGGCGAGGCGCGTGTCTGCGGCAAGGGTGGCGCGTGTTTTCGGCGAAAAGGGAAAGGGGGGGGGGGGGGCGAGGCCTCCAAATCCAACGAGGGTTTCCCCCGCATCCCGAGTTCGAATGGGTCGGGGGCCGCCCGCCGGACTTTTTTGTACCCCCCCCTCTCCTCCTGGGGGGCCCCCTTCCACCTCTCGGACACCAGCTTTGCGACCTGGCTTGAGGGCGCCCCTTCGCCCGCCTCGGCCGCCACCGCTTCGCGCACCGCCTTGGTGTAGTACGCCAGCGCGCTCTGGGGCTTGTCCGGCTCGCCGCTCGCATCCTTCTCGCCTCGGCCGCCGCCTCTGCCGCGGCCGGCGGACTGCCTGCAGGAAGGCTCCGAGAAGGCTCCGAGACGGGTCATGGAAGCGCCTCTGCCGCGGCCTGCGGACGGCCTGCGCCGCTTCGCGTCGGGCTCGTCGAAGACGAACTGCTGCGGCGCCCGCCGCTGCCGCTTGTGCGGGTCCTGCGCCCCCTCTCCCTCCCCCTCTTCGCCCTCCCCGTGGGCGCCGTTGCCGTTGCCGCCGCCCTCCGCCTCGCGCGCCTCCCTCTTCCGCCGCTGCTCGAGCTCCTGCCGGAGCCCGGCGAGGGCGCTGCACCCCTCCAGCCCCTCGGTGTTCGAGATCTGGTCCGCCACGAAGATGCCGTGCGCCACCAGCTCCTGCGGGCAGGAGGCGCGTGAGAGGCGTCGCGCCACAACCCGCGAGAGGCGCCCACCCTCGCGGCGGCGCCTCGGCGCGCAGCTTGAGCGGAGGCGGCCCTCCCTCCTCGACGCTCTTGTTGAGGCCGACGACGTGCCGCAGCAGTTGCTTGAACGACAGGCTCCCGTCCTCGAGGAGCAGCGCGATGGCGCGCGCCGCCAGCGCCGTCCTCCGCACGAGAAGCGTCCAGAGCGGCTCGTACTCGACGGAAGGCGAGAGCAACCTGTAGTCTGCAGTGGCGGTCGAGACCCAGACGCTCGCCTGCAGGTGATCGTACTCGACGGACCACTCCGAAGGCACAAGCCGTACCAGCGGGCCGCGCGCCGCAGCGGCGCCCTCCCCCCCACCACTGCTCTCGCCGCCACACTCGCCGCCGCCCTCGCCACCGCCACCGCCGCTGCCCTCGCCATCAGAGGCAGCGGGAGTGGGCGGCGCTGTGAGCCGTCCCACGACGATGAGCGGTCGCTGGGGCATCGCATCGAGTGCCTGAAGATCGCACAGCATCTGCCTCCCGTCGCACGGCTCGAAAACGACAACCTCGACCAGTGTTCGGGCAGGCAGCCCGCCCTCCTCCGAGGCTTCCGCGTCCCAGGTCGTGCCGAGAGCGGCCTCCTCCAGCAGAGGCTGGTGAGTGAGATCGAGGTCGACTAGGTCGCCGAGAGCCATCACGGAGATGCCGCAGGCAGACGAGGCTGCACCCTATGGGGGAGTCTCGCGGGGCCAGCGTGTGCGGTGGCTTCTTTTTCTTTTTTCCTCCCCTTGACCTTGGGGTAATTAATTATTTGTTAATTCATTATTACTTAATAATCATCGGGCGGCGGCGCGGCGCGGCGGCGGGCGGGGCGGAGCGGGGCGGCGCGACCATCTGTCCTGACCGGGACCTCTGGTCTTTGATGCGGAACAATGGTGGCGCCGCCCTCGACTCACGGGGCTGCCTTCCAGCCGTCGCTGCTCAGGCCGGGGGAGGGGGGGAGACCTCCTGTTCCTCGCGGAACGGGAGCAGGCCCCTCCTTGCCCGGTCTGCGAAGCAGGGCGGTGGTCGTGCCATCTTGGCTTCACAACGAGCACGCCGCAACCGTCGCCGGCGCGCGACACGTTCCCGTCAGCAGGACTGTCCTGGTCGAGAGTGTGTGCCGCCAAGGCGGGACCACTCGGGGACAGTGCCGACGGGACGCGGCTCGAAGGGTGTGGCTCCGCAGCGCGGCTGGCACTCGTCGCAGAGGCCTCACCTTCGAAAAGTCGGGCATGGCTCCACCCGCAACTTTGTCGCTAACACGCGCGCACCGCCGAGCCTGCGGCGGGCGCGCTGCGGCCGCACGTCTACTTCGTCATAGTGCCACGACGTGCGGCCTAGATTTAGCCCACGCGCCTCTGCTCGCAAACACTCACCCATTTGATTGTCGCTGTCCGTGAGTGCGAGATAGGGCTAGCCGCAGGCAGCTAGCCCATGAGGAGGGCGTCCATAGACACCTCACTAGACCCCACATACGGTCTCGTCCGTGCCTTGCGGCCGGCGAGATTGCTAGAGGTGGAGCATGCTGCTCTAGCCTCACATGTCACTTCCTGTCGTCTGTTGTTTGTTGTGCTCTTGTTTGTTTCTCTTGGCACCTTGGAGTGCTGGGGGGGGCGACAGGGAGGATATGGCCTTGAGTTATGTGTACGCCAACTCAGGGTGTGTGGCAGCCAGCTGGCTGTGTGTCTTGTGAGCCTTTTGTGTCTGTGTGTCGCTCGTGCGTGTCGTCATCATCTGTCCAGCGTCCACCCATACCGCGTTGGTGTCCAGTCCGAGCCTGGCTGTTCTTCACCTTTCTACCTACCTACCTACCTACCTACCTGACCTTGGTGGTGGGGTGTGTGTGTGTGTGTGTGTGTACTCACACACTCACTCACCTTGGTGGTGGGTTGGGGGGGGGGGGCGAGCTGCTACGGTTGTGAGTGTCTGTGTGTCTGTGTGTCGCTTCTCACTCCCGTCTCGCGTCCCGACCCATAGTACCGCGGTGACCCGGTGTCTCCACAGAGAGAGGCACAGTCCGAGCCTGACAGCTGACTGTTCTTCACCTTCCTAAAACTAACTAACTAACTAATTGGCACTATACCACAGGACTCTCCGCGATGGGCACCGCTCTCCCGATAAACTATCACAGCATGGACCTGCCGCATTCACACAAACGCGACCGTGCCGAGGTCGACGGGCGTATTCATCGAGAGCAGCTCGTCGAGCCGCTCGCTGGCGCGCTCGATGTTGCCGATCAGGCTCTTGAGCGAGTAGACGAGCGCGTTGAAGGTCAGCGCCTCGTCGTTGGACAGCGACGGCACCGCGTCCAAGCCCGCGTCCCTGCGGCGGTTGAGCGTGACCACGGCGTGCAGGCACTCGGCGTAGCACTCGTCGAACAGCTTCACGGCTGGCGAGGAGGCGGAGAAGCGCGCGCCATCCGCGCTGACGCCCGCCTGCAGCTTCTGCAGCAACGCCCTCAGCGCGTGCACCACCTCCGCCTCGACGCGGTTGATCGGCTTGAGCAGCGGCGCGACGAGGCCCACTCCGCCCGGCTGCAGCGCCGCGAGCGTCTCGTGCAACAAGTCGAGGTCGTCCAGCATCGCGCTCAGAGCGGCGGCCACGCCCCGCACGCGGCCCGCCGGGAACGCCTCTCGCCAGTAGCCTCCTGCGTGGGAGGCCTCGTCGATGAGCGGCCCCAAGTGAGCGAGGGCCGCCCGGGCCGACGCGTGCATCCGGACGCCGCGCGCCTGCGCCTCGTCCTCGGCGCCGGACGGCTCTCCCGACGCCGAGTCACCAACGCGGGCGCGCGACTGGCGCCCGGCAGCCCCGAGAGAGACGCGCGACGCGCGCCGTGCGCCGGTGAGGGGGGTGCCCAACGTCGCCGCCTCTGCAAAGTTTGGAGCCGGCGGGAGCGGTGCCGCTGGCCCGCCCCCACCCTGCGCGCCGCCTCCCACATCAATGAGCTCGACGCCGCCGCTCACGGGACGCCCGGCGCTCGCCTCGCTCGCCGGCGCAGGGTCGCAGGGAACCTGCCTCGCGCACGTGGGACGCGCAACGGCCCCCCTCTGGGGGCTGGCGACGGCCTGGAAGAGCCACTCTCCCGCGGTGTGCTCGAAGGTTGCTCGCAGCTCGACGAGGCACGCGGCGAGCTGCTCGTGCACCCGCCTCGGCGCGTCCACCGGAAAGACGAGCACCGACGCGGCGAGCGCGCACACGATGCCGGCGAGGGTGAACTGGATCCGGTCCAGCGCGAGCGAGGAGGCGTCCAAGTGGCGGAGCTCGCAGTCCGCGCCATCCGCCAAGCCGGCCGAAGTCGCTCGACGGCTGCCAATCCCGCCGCACTCGTTGGCGAGCAGCATCAGTGCCGGCGTGAAGGCGGCCACGAGGCCCGCATAGGAGACGGTCGCGCTGGCAGCGCGCACAAACGCGCACCCAAAGGTCCACAGAGAGTACGCAGTCACGAGCAGCGCGTCCCGAGGCAGCGCCTCCGCCTGCGCGGTCAGAGCGAGGGCCGTGAAGCCAAAGCACGCGCCAACCACCGAGCCCTGCAAGCGGAGAGCACAGTTGCGGAGGGACGCCCCCAGCCCCGGCTCCACGACCATCGCCACCGTCGCAGCCACCCAAAAGCCGCGCTCGAAGTGGACGGCGAGCAAGCACGCCGACAGCAAAGCAGAGCAAGCACGCGCCCCATCGCGCCACCGCGCACGCATCGCCGCCGCCGCCGCCCTCAGCCTCGCCTCGCACGCCGCGGCCGACGGCAGCAGCGGGGTGGCGCTGGCGCGAGGGGCGCTGCTGCTGCTGCCCGCCTCGGCCGCCTCCTGCAGCCGCTGCAGCAGGCGTGTGAGCGAGAAGAGGGCGGCTTCGATGACGACCACCTCGCCGTGCTCCGCCACGTCGCTCCCCAGCGTCGCCTGAGCAGAGCCAACCACCCTGTCGCCGCTCCCGTCGCCGCCGCCGCTCCCGTCGCCGCCGCCCGCCTCGCCGCTCCCCGCCTCGCCGCTCCCCGCGTTGCTGGGTGAGAAGATGAGCCGCAGGCGCGCTTCGAGGAACGCCTCCTCGAACCTGGCGCGCGCCTCACGGCACTGCGCCGCCACCGCGCCGTCGGCCGGCGGGAGAGGCTTGCCCGCCACGTGCTGCGCAAACTGCCTCGCAACCTCCCCGAAAAGAGCCAACTCGGGCGCGAGCGCTGCGAGCAGCCGCACCGCCACCGCCGTCGGCCGGAGAGCGCGCGTGGACGGGAGGGTGGCTGCGACGGTGGCGACGTCGCTCAGAGCGCGGTCGAGGGCGCGCTGCTGCGCGCGCCGCCACCGCGGCCCTCTCCAGCCGCCGCGGCGCACCAAAAAGCTCGGCACCACCTCCCAGCGCGCCGCATCGAGCAGCCCCGCGACTGCAGCCAGCTCCTCCCGAGTCGCTCTCGCCACGGAGGCGGCGGAGGCGGCGGCGGTGGCGTTTTGCGGCCCCAGCTGCAGGTACGCGTCGATGAGGAGGGCGAGGCCGGCGAATCCGGCGCGGAGGGCCTCGTCGGCGGAGCGAGAAGCGCGGCGAGGGAAGGGCAGCAGCGCGGCGGCGAGCGCGCAAAGCGCGCCGCGCAGGACGCACTCTGCGATGCCGAGGAGCGCAGCGGGCGGCCCCGCCAGCGGGCTGCGCAGCGAGAGCAGCACGCCGACGCTCGACGTGCCGGCGAGCACCTTGCGCGCGACGGAAGGCAGCTCGGCGACCGTGTTGCACAGCAGGTTGAAGGCGGCCAGGCAGGAGAGAGAGAGCACCACGCGGGAGGCGTAGGCGTCGGCGGCGGGCAGCGCACCGACCAGCGCGAGCCACCCGAGCGGAATAGTGGCCAGCGCTGCCAGCGTCGCCTCGACGCAGCAGCGGACGGTTGCGCCGAGAGTGCCATCGACGCACAGGATCGCAAAGATGGCTGAGAGCGCCGAGAACTCGTGGGGAGCGTGGATGGCGACCGCGCACGTCAGGGCGACGGCGAGGGCGGTGCGAGCTGCCCTCTCGCAGTGCCGGAAGACGTGGCGAGCGAGCGGCATCTTGGTCGTCCGTGTGGCTGCAGCCGTCAGCGGCAGCGTGCTCGGCGAGAACGTCGAGTCGTGCAGCCGGACTAACTCCTCGACGTGCTGGACCGCCGAGGCGTAGTGGCTCTGCATTATCTCGTGAACCTCTCTCTCGCGCCGACGCCGGACCTCTGTGCTGCAAGAATGCTTGCCGCGGCGCCGCAGGCGCCTGTTGATGGGTCCAGGTGATAGCCCTGGATGGGCAATGCATACGCCTAGTTGGGCCTCAGATCGCCCGACCGCGTCCCGGTGCTCTGTGGTCGGATTTGTGACGCCGCCGCACCGCGCCGCGGCCGGGGGCCCTCCGGAGGCCGAGGATGGCCGTGGCGGACCGGGACGAGGGACGAGCTCTGAGAGGTAAAGTGTCGGTGAGTATATTGTAGAGACAGACCATGTGCACAATATCTCTCAGTCTAGCTAAGCCAGGGGAGGCGTGTGAGGGGAGCGGCGGCGAGAGGGGGGGCGACGGCGACGCAGGCGAGCCGCGCGCGCGCGCGACTGAGGGAAGCGCGGGCGGCGGGAAGAAGGAGAACGGCGGCGGCGGCGAGGCGCAAAACGGGGGCGGCGGAAGTGGGGGCGACGGCGGCGGCGGAGTGAACGGCGGCGCGCGCACGGACGGCGACGAAATCGACGGCGGGAAGGGGCGGGGCTGCATGGCGGCGACGGGCGCGCGCTCATATGTCGTGCTTTCGCATTGGCACTCCACACGACCTGCGTGCGCGGGAACGGCAGCGGTCATGTCGCGCGCACCGGGCGGCGCCGTGCTCGCAGCAGCCGGGATCGCGGCAGAGTATGGTGGAGAGCTCTACCCGCGCACCTGCCCAGCGAGGAGCTCGACGCCGCTCCTGGCAGGGATCTCGGCGACGTTGGAGAGCGGGCGCACGATGTCGTGGGCGACGCCCGTCCGCAGCCTCTCTCCCTACGGGGTGTGGACCCTGAGTTGACCAGGGGTTGTGCGCCGGGCCCTCCTGCTCGGCTCCAGCCGGTAGACAAGTCTTGTCATCAACAGAGTAGAAGGATCTGACCTCAGGGCTGATGCGACCAAGCGCTGGTAGCGTGGTTTGACCTCACACCCATGGTCTCACAGTGTGCCGGCAGTCGCCGAGCAGTGTCGCTCACACAAGCCGCAGCACAAGTACAAGTGACTGAGGGCCAGTGAGGGCGAGCCCATCGCTGTCACAGCTGTGGCAGCCGCACAGTAGGCTGTGTCAACTGTGCAGAGTGTGTGAGCAGCAGAGGAGCTGCTCTCCAGGCTTCAGGCGCAAAGAGCTGCATGCCACCGAAGGCGCTGTCGAGGTTCACCGAGTGCGGCGCAGGTTGGGGGAAGCCGCCACCGACGAGCGCGTTGGACTTTCACTCCGGACAAAGACGGGCACACAGCGGACGGTGCGGGGCGTGTGCCCGTCGTAGCGGCGAGGCGCGGAACCGTCTGTGGCGAGGTGGGTCGCGTCCCCCGATTTCCTCAACTGGAGCAAGCAGGCGAACTTGAGCACTTGAGCACTTGATAGGGTCGATTCCGCATGGTACGGGACCCCTCGATCGTCTCGCCCTCCCTCACTGGCGTGTTCATGGGGGGGGGCATAACAAACACGGTACAGTTTTTTTAACTCACTTACTCACATCTAAGTAGAAAGCAGCTGCTCGGTCGAGGTCGGGAAGGCCCGATTTCCGATTTGTTATGCTTTCTGAGAAGAGAGCAAGCAAGCCCACTCATCCCCACTCTGCGCAGCGAGAGAAACCATTGGCTTTTTGTTTGTCAGCCACAGCAGCCAAACAAACAACCTCCCCCAAGTGGCTGCTAGGAGGAGGTGGGAGGGGAGCGAACGGCGCAGGCTTTCGTGATGCGCGATGCGTCCCGCTTTCTGTGCCTGTGCCTGTACGTGAGTCCAGTCCCCTACCGTGCCGGCGAACCCAGACGCCAGTTTGTGGTCGAGCTTGGTCAATTTTGGTCTCGGCCAGCTGGTCTCGGCAGCCTTGACCGAACACCATGTCGAATGACGACCGTATCAACCGCTCCATGTGGCCCATCGAGTACCGCAAGCCGCACGATGTCTCGTTCGACAAGAAGAAGACGATGATGCGCACCGTCACCACCTCGGGCTCAGGCGACGACGCGCGCGACGGCTCGGTGGTGCGGCTGCACTTCAGCGTGCATGCGCCGGAGGAGGAGGGTGGCGAGCGGCTCATCTTCGACTCGGCGAGCGTCCAGCCGGGCGGCGTCTCCTTCACGCTCGGAGAGACGCTGCACGCCGAGGTGCTCGAGCGGGCGGTGCTCGGCCTCCCGCCGGGAAGCGTCGCCGACGTCATCTGCACCGACGCCGCGGCGGCGAGCGACAGCCTGCTGCGGATCGAGCCGCCTCCGCTGGGGCCACTCGCGACCGAGACAGTCACCGCGGTGCAGCGCAAGCAGTTCAGCGAGCAGATCGGCGCCTCCTTTATAGAGGAGAAGAATGCCGAGGTTCTGGCGGAGGCCAAGGCGCGTCGGGCCCGCCTCCGACCCTGCTCGCGCCGCGGCAGCCGGCCACGGCGACCACCCGTCCCCCTCCCAGGCGTGGCGGCCTCCCGCGACGATGACCCGCTGGAATGTCCGCCTCGACTCTGCGGTGCCCTCAGCGCCGCCTCCCGCAGCTAGCACCGCCCCTCTCCCGCAGCTAGCACCGCCCCGCCCCTCTCTCCCGGGGCAGCCCTCTCCCGGAAGCAGCGCCTTGCTCCTCCTGGAGTGGACCCTTGAGCGACAGCCCGACCCCCCGCCCCGACCGCACCCGCAGACCGCCGGAGTCGTCCCCGCCTTCATCACCTACCCGCCCGAGCGGCTCGACTGGTCCACACGCCAAAAGGAATTCGGCGCGACCTCCGCCTCGCCCGAGAGACACGCGGCCGCGCCGCTGCGCCCCGGCGCCCTCACGCGTCGAGCGGCCGCCCCTCGCCCCCGCGCAGGCGCCGTCCTCTTCGGAAAGGGCCAGCACGCGCGCGCCGGCCGGAGGTACAAGAAGGCGCTGCTCGATCTCGAGGCGATCTCGACTCGTCGCAGTGGTCGTCGGGGCTGCTCGTGTCGGAGAGCTGCTCGCCCGCACCTGTAGGTGCCGACGCAGTGGACCGAGGAGACAAACATCGAGCGGAACAAGCTCCGGCGTGCTCTCTACGCGCCCCTCCTCGCCCCTCCTCGCCCCTCTCGACTACGTGCAGAGGCGCGCCCTCACCGCCGCTCAGCCGGATAGGCTGGCGCTGCACCTCAACATCGCCGCGTGCGCCCTCCGCACCGCCGACTACGACAACGCGGTTTTCCACGCCACGCGCGCGCTGCGCACCGACCCCAAGAACGTCAAGGCCCTCTTCCGGCGTGCGAGTGCCGCCGTGTCGCTGCGCCCTGCCGCCCCAGCCTGCCGGCGGGAGCGCCTCATCGGCGGTGGCATCTCCGCTGCAGGCGCGCACCTGGCCAAGGCTGGCGACGTCAACGGGCTCGAGGCGGCGCTGGCGGACCTCGGCCGCGCCCGCGAGCTCGACCCCGACAACCGCGATGCACCGCTCACATGGCGGACAGGGTGGGCTGGGGCGGCGCCTCACGCGCCGGCGCCGTGGGTAGGTGGCGGCCAAGCTGGCAGAGGCGAGGAGACGGCAAAAGGCGGCCGACAGGGACGCGGCCTCCGTCTTTTCGAAGATGGTGCAGCCGGCGGAGGCTATCTACTCGTGAGGAATTCACGTCTCAGATCAGGTGCTCTAGAGTGGGTCCGGATGACACCACAAACAACTCAGCGCGGTCTTTCTCACACACCGCGTCACTCACACTTATAGGAATATCTAGACACGTCGTGGACCCCAGTGGCACGACGGAAAATGCCCATCTTGCGAAACTGTCAAACCCTAGTTTGCGAGTGAACACACTCTATATAGTTAGTATAGAGTTTGAACTGGTTGGGTAGTAGTCTAAGTTCTGAGCCTCGAGGCTGAGCGGGTCTAAGTGTGACTAGTCACGCTGGGGTGCTTACGCGGTCTAAGATCAGCGAGAGCCTCTTACATCGGCTAAGTCGGCCGTGGCACAGCCTGGGGCCAAGAGGCTCCCACCGTGATCAACGATACGGCGCTAGCCCCCAAATTTTCTTCGCCTGCGGCGGGCGCCTTCTAATCCGGATCGATCCTTCTCATGCTCAGCAATCGCCGCCTCAGCATCCTCCTCTTCCGATTCTCGTTGCTCTTCTTGAGCGCAATCTTCAAGCCAAACAGTTCTCACAAATAGCCTCAAGCTCAAACAAACGCATGTCAAGGAAGCCTGTGTATGCTGGTCCTCTTTGAACGATCCGCGCGTGAGGTAGATCTAGCATAGGGCCTTGTTGGCAGCAGCCAGCTTGTTGCGCTGCTTCGTTGCGATGAGCTGATTGGGATCGCAGAAGTGCATGCCAAGCACCGCCACGATCTTGAAGCAGAACACATCGCAACCGCATCGTCCGCACTGCCATCGGCATGCCGCGCCCGCCGCTTCGCCGCAGCCGCCTTAAGACACGCATAGCGGCAGCACATGGTACGGTGCGCGTACTTGAGCAGGAGTTGCGCGCCGCAAGTAGCGCACTGGCCCTGGGACAAGGCGATATGGCGTCGTGCGCGGCATACGTTGGTCGGGACGCGTCCAGGTATTTTTCGGGTAAACCTGGACTTTTGCAGGTATACCCGGGTTTTACCCGGATTTGGCCTTGTGCCGTCTAAGTTCATGGCCCCCGACCATACAGCGTCTAAGTCCGAGCCCGGCTCCGTGCGGGGGCTAAGTTGAGCGCTCGCTCGCTGTGCAGAGGCTAAGTGTAGAGCGACCGGACCCTCTAGCCCTACTACCCAACCATTGAGTTTGAGTGGCAAGGGTGCCGTCACCGTGCGCCGTGCGCCGTGGCTGCGAGAGGGCCTCCCGCCAGACCGCGGCTGGGCTGGAACGTGGACAAGGGGAGCTGGGAATGCACCTGCGGTACCGAGCGGAGAGGGGAGAGGGGCGGTGCCGACCCCAAAAACAGCCAAAAAAGCGAGAGACATAATTCATAAAGTCCCCTCTACATAATAAACTATCTAGAATGTATGCCATTTGTTACATGCGCCATGCGATACATCTTCTCCTCGCACGCTAAGATTCCTCAAAGAGCGGAGAGATTGAGAGCGCGAGCTCGAAACCAACTGGCTGCTTGTGGGAAGTTTCCCACACCAGCAGTTGTAGGCCATTCACGTCGAATAGCGAATGCCGCCCAAATTATGGGGGCCGCGCTCAGCCCGCGGCGACGTTCTTCTCGGGGCTGTGTGGCGCCGCGGCGAGCACGAGCCCGGGCAGGTTCGCGTGGGAGAGCAGGTGGCAGCCGCTCGCGACGGCGCAAAAGGGCAGCGTTGCGATCGGTATGCCGAGCGACGCAGCGACCGCGCCTTTGGCGCCGCCGAAGACGGCTGCCGTCGCCACGGCGCCGCCCGTCGCGAGCGCCGCCGCCCCCGCAGACGGCACGTAGAAGACCGAGACGGCGAGGGCCGTGAGCGATGGGTTAAAGCCCCACAACCCCGTCGCTATCTCGGCGGCGGGAGCGCCGAGGAGGTACCCGGTGCCGGCGCCGACCGCAGAGCCGTATGCGGCGGCGACGGCGCATGCGGGCGAGTAGAGGGCGGTTGCGCCGAGGATCATCGCGCCCGAGACGGCGTCGCCAACCACAAAGATCTGAGCCACGCCCGCGAGGGGCGACAGCACCCACTCGACGGCAGAGAGGGCGGCAGCCGGGTCGGCGGGCGGCGCGCCGGCGAGCGGGCGTATGACGGCGAGGGAGGCGAGCGCGATCGTATTGAAGGCCCATGTCCACTGCGGCACGCCGCCACAGAGCGGCTTGAGCGCGGCGACCAGCGGCGCCGTCAGGGCAGCGCCTCCGACCGCAGCCGCGGCCGCCGCCGGAGAGCCGGCGGGTAGGCCGAGGAAGACCGCAAAGGCGCAGCCGACGAGGCACCCGTTGTAGCCGTACAAGCCCGCCGAGATGGCAGCCGCGTCGAGGCCGGCCACGCGAGCCGTCGCTGTGGCCGAGGCGGTGCCAGCGGCTGCCAGGGCGCCCAGCCACGGGTCGCCGTAGACGAGCGCCGCGAGCGTGAGCGCGCCCGACGCGGGAGAGTTGAGGAAGATGACCTGGCCGACGCCGCGAAGGCACTCATCCAGAAACGGCGGCAGGAGCGTGCCGGCCTGTGGCGCAGCGGCGGCCTTTGGCGCTCCGCGGTCCTCGGCCGAGGAGGAGGAGCTTGCAAACCGCCGAGGGAGGCTGCGGCCGGAGGAGATTCTGGAGCCCAGGCGCCGAGTAGCGGCTACGGCCGGGAGGCGACGCGGACAAAGGAGGCGCAGCCCAGCCTGCATGTCCCAACCAACAGGCGCTTGTTGGGGTACAGCCTCTTTGGGGGTTGTTACAGAAAGAAATAAGCCCCGCAGCTGAGCTGGGAATATGACCGCCGCAAGCGGCGTGGCGTGGAGCGGTTGAGCATCCCTCCGGGGGCCCCTCTGCGCCGGGGAGGCGTTGTTGGAGGCTAGGACGCAAGCGTCCGTGCCCCTTTTCAAACTCGGGGCCCACTCCGCTACGCTCCGACCCGAATTTGGAGGGCCTAAAATTTTAAGGTGTTGCTGCGCAAAAGGGGTCGGACACAGGGCGCAGCTCATGCTAAGAGCTAGAAGGGGAGATTCATAGAGAGAGAACAACCACCCTGCCCCGTTATTGCGTACACCAGAGAGAAGAGAGCGCGCCGCGCGACCCGCGTCGCTCCGCGAGGGCATGAGCCTTCCGCGATTCGATCCCGCAGCCAAAAGCTGCTCGCTCGAACCGCGGCCGACTCTACCATCGCGGCTGCAGCTGTCGAGCTCTCCAGAAAACTGGTGCCTCATATGCTGCCTCCCTGCGGATGCTGCCGGCGAGCCTGGCGGTCCGCTGTACTACAAGGATGTGCTGACTCGATTCTACCTCGAATTCTTCTACCCCCACGACTCGGAACGCGAATGTGACAGGACCATCGGGTCCTTCAGCCACCAAAGCGGGATCACCCGAGAGCAGCTGAGCCTGCCTCTGGCCTCGCCTCCCTCTCCTTCAGGCATTCGTGGCATCCTATGGGTCGTCCAGAGTATCGACCTCTGGCTTGTCAGCCGCCCCATCGAGGGCACCATGAAGTACAGCGATGCCACCTCGCTGGCCTCTCCGCAAGGCCCCCCGACCGCGTCGAACTCATCGGCGCGGGCTCCCTCGGCTACGGGACCGGCCCCAGCTTCGGCTGAGGGCTAACAAGCTGCCGAGCCCAAAAGCCAAATCACTGTGAGAGTCGTGATTTCTTGTTGGTTTCCTAAAATCTCTCTCTCTCCCAGAGAGAGACTAAAAGTACGTACACCAGAAACACAACAACCACAAAAGCTCTCTCTCTCTTGTGCCTGTCCAGTGTCCTCACTTAGAAAACTAGGACGGCGGCAGTCATGGTGCTATTACGGGCATGGATCAGTGGAAAGTGTGGAGAGGGTGGTATGCGATAGTAGAGCAGGCGCTTTGTGTGTGAGGCTGCCCCCCAGAAAAGAATTTCAAACAGCACACGAGGCACGGGACTGGCGCGCACTTGCAGCACTAACACACACAGGTAACAACAAACAAATGATTTGTGAGTGTTGATGTTTGTGAGTTGTTTGGTATTGCGAATAATCTCTCTCAGGTACACCACACGGGAGCCGCCTAAGCGCCCAGAAAAGAATTGTACCTTGCGCAGGAAAGTTACTCCAAAATTAGTTCTGTGCATGGATTGTGCTCTTTTTAAGGCTTTATGTGAACAGCGCTGACTTCTGACTGTCATTGCTGTCTCTCCCTTCTCGACTATCTGTGCTTGTGCGTCTTGGGTCCGGGGTTGTGTTTTTCTGTGAACAGCGTCTTGGGTCCGGGGTTGTGTTTTTCAGGAAAAAAGCAGGTCGGATGTCGTAGACACGCCCGACATGGCCGAACGGCGCGCGGCGGCGATGCTGGCGGCCTCGCTGCTGACGTTGCCAGCCGCGCCGCTGGCACGTCGATCGCCACTGTCACCACGTCTCTCGCCGCGGTGGAGCTCTGCGACGAGGACGTGGCAATGCGCTGCTCTGCTCAAAGCGATGCTGGCTCTGCTGCCGACCCTGAGTGGGAGGCAGTGCTGGCGCAGCAGATAGCAGAGGAAGCAGAGGAAGCGGAGCTCTACTGCCGCTTCGAGCGCCGTGGCGACGACTACAACATGTACAGCGAGGAGGAGGAGGAGGAGGATGGCCATGCTGCTGTGCAGGGCGTGGCTGGGAAGGTGAACGAGCCGCTCGAGGAGCGGGACGAGTCGGCTCGTGTCACCGGTGGAGGATTCAGTATGCCGCAGGCGGCTCCCCGTGACCAACCAAAGCCACCCCTCTTCTCAGATCAGTGCTTGCACCGATACCTGAATCCTCTGCCGCTCCCAGCCGTGCTCGCCGAGCCTCCGCCGCCTCCACCTCCGCCTTCAATATCAATGTCCCACCCCCCTCCGCGCGGGCCTTCTAGGCCCGCGGGTAGTCTCCCCCCATCCCCAGGGCCTCCAGGGCTCGCACCTCAACCTCTCATAGACCAGCGCAAAGCGCCATAGGACGTATTTCCTTCTCAATAACAAGGTCTGTGAACAGCGAACCAAAAAGACAAAAATATAGTATCAAAGCTAGTCAGAGCACCGTCCAAAGGCGGGTGCTGTCGACAAAGGGACAATCTCGTCTGTCTGTAGCCGAACTTGTGATGGGACACCCTCGGAACCCAACTGCGTACTACTTGGCTAGCACGCTATTGGCATACCAGGTCTGAACACAAAGGATTAGCTGTATCTACCCAGCGCTCCGCTTACACTAACCTGTGAAGCGTGAACAGCGCCAGGAATTTCAACAGCATTCCTTGAACGATCACAGTGGCGTCCTCCGACGCCGCAGCGAGCCTGAGCTCGTATTCCTTCTCAATAACAAGGTCTGTGAACAGCGCGCCCTGTTTGAGAGAGCTGTACGCCCAGCCCATGTTCATTCTCTCCTCCCTCCTTTGTGCGCTCGTCGCCTCCCCGCCCGAGGCTTGCAAGGCGCTCCGAGGCTTCTACGATGCCATCGGCGCGAAAGACAAATCGCCGTCCTTCAAGGACACGAGCTCGACCTGCTGCGCCTTTCTCGACGTGTGCGCTCTCACCCTCGCCGCAGGCCGCTCCCCTGCCCTCACGGCCAGGCCCTTCGCGCGCAGGTGAGATGCACGCAGCCGGATGGCTCACCCAGCCCGCCCCTCGGCCAAAAAGAAGGGTGGAAAGCGGGCGCCACCCTGACCAAGATCAAATTCCGGGGCGGCACCGAGCTTGGCGGTAGCGGCACGCTGCCCGGCGCCCTGCTGCTACCGCTCGCCGGCACGCTCGAGTACCTCGACTTGGGCAAGGATGGGGACCGCTCCTTCTCGGGCACGCTGCCTGCGGAGCTTGCCCAGCTCACCGCGCTCCAAAAGCTGAGTCTCACCACCGGCAAGTTCAGCGGCACCATTCCGCACCAGCTCGGCCGGCTTCCCGCGCTGGAGAAGTTGACGCTCCTCTCCAAGCGCCTCTCGGGGACGGTCCCGGGCGAGCTTTGCCACAGGTCGGACGGCTCGCTCAGGAAACTGGTTCTCGACGACAACGTGAAGCTCTCGGGCGCGCGCGGCGCCGGCGGGAGGTCCGGGCTCGGCGGGCGGCCCAGGTGACGAGTGGGCCGGGCCGTGTCCCGCGTAGGAACGCTGCCGCCCGAGTGCTTCCTCTTGCCCACACTCGAGGCGCCGCCGCTCCTCACCGCCGCCCTTGGCGCCGCTGCACTCGGCTCTGCCGCCCTCGGCCGCAAACCATATCCCGCGCTCGGATCTCCGCCGCCGCTCCTCCTTGCTCCACATGCTCTCCACAACGCCACGCCGCAGCCCAGACGCTAGGCCAGCGCGTCTCCCCCCTCCCGCCGCGCAGGAAATCTCCGCCAAGAAGACGCGCATCTCCGGCACGCTGCCATCTCGGGCACGCTGCCAGGGGGGCGTCATCTCGTGCAGCGTCATGTCGCCTCCACTGCCGCCTCCACCGCCGCCTTCACCGCCGCCGCCGCCTTCACCGCCGCCGCCGCCTTCACCGCCATCGTTGGCCTCTGACACGGCTGTCGTCGTCCTCCTCATCTGTGCGATCGCCATCCCGGCCGCGGCCTGGCTGTTGTACACCCTGTGCAAGCGCGTCGCCATCACCTCGACGGTGCGCCTTGGGCCGCACCACACCCTCCCCCGGCCGCTACTCCCCCCCCCCCCCACACACACACACCTTTTCACACACACTGGCCCCCACATCGCGCGCGCCGCCGCCTCGGCCCCTTTCCCTCCCCTCAGGTGGTGGTTCCAAAGATGACCGAGCTCGACTCCGCGGCGGTGGCCTTAGCCCGCAGAGACCTCGGGTAGGGTGCCCGCCCGGCTGCGGCTCGCACTGAGTGCGACTGCTTGTGAGCAGGTGGAGCACATCCCGGAAGGGGAGGCAAGGCCGACGCACTACAACTGAGAGGGTCGTGCTAGTTTTCGGCGTGAGGGCGCGGTGCCCATTCCGCATTCAACCATGCATTGCTTCGACCATGCATGCAGGCTGCCCACCACCGACACCGCGGCCGTGCTATTTAATAATTTCCCCTATTTCGCACACATCGCGGGCGCATCGGCACGGGGCAAAACCCAAACAAAACGGAGAGGCTTTTTTGCACGCCCCGCAGCACATCTCACGAGAAATGGACAGGACGCGGCACTCTGCCGCCGGCGATGCGCGAACGGGACAACGGTGGGGCGGTATGTGTCTCTGGGCGATAAAAGTGTGATCACAGGCCGGTCGTCCCCAAGTGTGAAGTGAGAGCAGAGTCCACAGTCGTGAGACTGTGACTCAAGTCCGAGGGCGAGCTCTGGCCTACGCACGCTCTGGCTCTCTCCTCTCTCCACTGTCCACATGTTCTCCAGCTCGTTACTCGTCGTCCCGCAGGAGGAGGTGCGGCATGACGTGGGCGCGCCATACCTCCAGCGGCAAGCGGCGCGAGTGGCGGGCCGCGGCGCCGAGCCAGAGCAGCTCCACGGCGCGCGCGCGCACTGCCGCCGGAAACAGATGGTGCGAGTGCGGGGTCCAGGGCGCGTCCGCTTGCAGCACTAGCGCGGCGGCGGCGGCGCCGGCTTCAGCGCCTTCGCCCTCGGCGGCCCGCGTTTGGAGGATGGCCCTGGCGCGTTCGAGCGGCGTGACCGCACCAGATGCTGCGCCCGAACCGGAGGCTGCGGGCGCGCGCACAGAAGCGCCGGCGCGGAGGAGGGACGAGGCTCGCGCGGCAGTCAGCTGCTCGAGGTGGTGGAGAGGTGTCCAGCCGCGGCTCCGCACGAGCCACGCGTGCAGCTCCACCCAGCCACGCGTCTCCGCGACCGCCTCCGCCTCCAGCCGCGGCTCCTCCGCGACCGCCAGCCTCCTTCCGCCCACGCGCGACGCGCCGAACGAGGAGAGGGCCGCAGCGCAGGCCAAATGGCCCCGCAGCACCGCGACGAGCATCGGAGTCCAGCCCTTGTCGTCTGCGGCGTCGATCTCTGCGCCGCCCTCGCAGAGGAGTGAGCAGCACCCCGCGGCTCCCTGCTGCGCGGCGACGTGCAGCGCCGTCAGGCCCGTCGCTGACCGGCAGGTCAGGTCGGCACGCGCATGCAGCAGGGCGGCACAGCACTCGTCGTGGCCGCGAAAGGCGGCGAGCCGCAGCGGCGAGGCCAGTTCGACGTCGGCGCCTCCCTCGCAGAGGACACGCACGCAGTCCGCGCGCCCCTCTTGCACCGCGGCCTTGAGCGCCGTGAACCCCGAGGCCGACTCGAGGTCGACGGCGGCGCGCGCGACGACGAGGAGGCGGACGCACGGCTCGTGGCCCTGGTGCGAGGCCAGGTGGAGCGCCGTGCTGCCGTCCGGTAGGCGTTCGTCCAGACCAGCGCCAGCCCCGCACAGTGCAGTCGCGCAGGCTGCGTGGCCGCCGATGCAGGCTGCGTGCAGCGCGGTGCTTCCATTGGACGTGGCGTGGTTGATCGAGGCGCCAGCAGCGAGAAGAGCTTGCACGCAGTCAGCGTGGCCCTCTCCGGCGGCCAGCAGCAGCGGCGTGCGGCCGCAGTTGTCTGTGATGTCAACAGGCGCGGCAGAGTCAACTAGTAGCGCGGTAAGCGCGTCGGCGTCGCCCGTTTCTGCAAGGTTGTGGATTCGCGGGCGCCCATCGCGCCCACGCGTGCCAGTTCTAGGCATGAAAGGGAGCCGGCTGGCGCAGATAGTAAGGTGCCGGAGTCGCCGTTGTAGCCCGCAGAATATTTGGCTGTCACCAGCGCCTGTCGCAACAAATGGATTCCGGCTCCTACCAGATAGGGGGTCAGTCCCACGGTTAGACCCTATGCAATAGGTAGGTAGGTCCGGTTTTGACCGCCCCAGAGGGCCCCGCAATAGGTAGGTAGGTGGTGGTGTGTGTGTGGGGGGGGGGGGACGGCGCGTTTAGCCGCGAACAGGGCCGTCCAACGCACAGAGGGCTCAACGGGTATTTTTCGCTTCGCTGCGCGGCCCCGCAAAATAGGTAGGTAGGTGGGGCACGGAGCCCTGGCGGTTGGCGCCCGGAATAGGTAGGTAGGTAGGGCGTTTTGGTGCGAGTCATGGGGATCAGACCCCCTATCTGGGTAGGAGCCGGAACCCCGGGGCTAGTGTGCGAAAAGAAACACTCGCGACTTTTTTTACCTGCTTCGAGGTCCCTTGGCATGTCTGTTTTCTTTCTTTCTTTCTTTCGAGGTCTCGAGATACACAAAGCGGCCAAGCCGAGGCACACACACTAGGTGCGGGGTGTGCCCGCCCGAACGAATATGTTGTTTCCCCCTATTTAACCCCTCCACGCTATCCACGCTCACACAGCACGACGAAGACGACGTGCACACTGGCATCGCGGATGGAGTGAGACGCATTGTGGGCCAGTGCTTCGTTCCTCTTCTGTCCTGCGTCCACCCATAGCCATACCGCGTTGGTGTCCAGTCCGAGCCAGACTGTTCTTCGCCTTTCTATCAATCAATCAAGTGCTTGAAAGCATAACGCCATTGTCCTGTCTGTCTGTCTGTGGGAATATCAGACAGAAGAGAGAGCGCTGCTTAGCACAAACAAACAAACAAACAAACTCTCTCTCTCTCTCTCTGATTTAGAAGCGGGGGCACTTTTGGAGCAAGCAAGTGCCGAGTTTTTAAGCACCCCGCCCTGCCTACCTATCACAGGTTCACAGGGACCGCAAACGAAGCGACTCCCAGTGAACCTAGCCGTGAACGCGCTCGAATTCAGAACTTGGCGAGCCCGGCCCCACCCACAATCATGATGCTGCGGCGTTTGTCCGCACTGCTCCACCTCGCGATGCGATTCATGAAGGGGGAATGTGAAGCGACCCTGGAGATGGCGGGATGCCTGCTCACAGCGGACGGAGGCTCGGTCAACAGCTCCTGCGCGATCCAAGCGCCAGCCATGCGCGCCGACGATTTTGTGACTGCAAGCGGAGCCAGCCTTGAGAGGATGGACTATGCCAATTCACTCAAGCGCACCGAAATGGAGGAACGCTTCGCAGCCGTCGAGCACCGGCTCTCCGCCCTCGAAGCACAGCTCGCGTCGGGCGCGGTGATTGCAACTCCTCAGGGAGTCGGGCACGGTTTTGCTGGCGGGCATGGCGGCAGCCGCGGTGTTGGTGGAAGCACGTACAGTGGCGCGCGCAAGACTGCTGATACGCGTGGGCTGGTCTACGCATTCATCGCGTTCGACCAGACCGGATTCGGCCGTGTGCAGGCCATTCTGGCGCAACGTGCGGCACGGTACGGCTGGCGGACGTTCGGCGGGGGGCCGTGCCATCCCGAGACGCGAGGTCGGACGGACGCCGACGGCTCGTGCCATTCTGTCGCGAACGGTGATGTCGTCGCCCTGTTCGCATCGACTCACGATGGCGCCACGCCTTCGATTCAGTACTGCGAACGAGTGCCGCGTCCTTGCCGCTACATCACCTTGCTGCGGCACCCAATTAGCCGGCTGCTGTCGAGCTACAGCTACTTTTGCGAGGGATGCGCTGAGGGGGGGCGACAATGTCGAGGATGGCAGGACCCAGAGCGGCTGAGATGCCCAAACATGACTCGGACCGCGTACGCTGCTTACTTTGGCGACGTGTATACGCAAACATTTGCGCCGAAAGGTCTCCGAATGCTCGGTCCCGAGTACAGCGGCTTGCGCTCTCCGGTCGACCTCGCCGACTATTTCCTCCGATCCGTCTTTGTGATGCTGTACGAGGTGGATTTCAAGGCCGAGCGTCCGTTGGCGCGGTTTGCCGCGTGGACGGGTGATCGCTGGCTGGCGACGCAAGTCAGCGACGAGGCGTACCGGGAAGACGGAGGGGGTGCGACCCTGCCGGAGGGCGAGAGCGCAGCGATCAGGAAGATGCTGCGAAACGACCTCGAGCTGTGGACCCGTGTCTCGTCCCGCGCCACGCTGCCGCCCGCGGGGACCGCGGAGGGAGTGGCGCGATCTCGCGAAGCCATTTCTTAGGTACCCAGTGCGCGCCAGTCCCGTGCCTCGCTCGTGTTGTGAGAGGGGGAGAAGAAACAAAAATGACACACACACACAGCCCAGCACAAAAAAGAAAGAACAGACACCCCAAGGGAGGGATGGGAGGAATGCACGCCGCCACCACACAGGGATTTTAAGGAGAGGGGTGTGATGCGCTAGCCGTCGCCCACCCTTGGGAGAGAAGCTAGCGAGGCGAATGACATATTCGACACCCTCGACGACCATCTCGGCTACGGTTTTCCGACTCCGGCTTCGGCTGGTAGTCGACAAGCTGCCGAGCCCAAATCACTGTGTGTGCCACATTTCTTGTTGGCTTCTAAAAATCTCTCTCTCTCTCCCTTGGGCGTCCGCCTCTCCTCTCTTCGCAGTCTCTCGCCGATTCTCGCTGCAACCTTCATGCCACCTCGCGGTCGTCCCACTCTCGTCGTTCTCTCGTAACAACCAGCACCAACGAGGCAAACAAATCTCTCTCCTCTCTAAGGAAGAAAGAAAACAGACAACCCAAACGAGGGATAGGGGAGGAGGACAGGGTCCCCACCTGCACGAGCAGGATTTTGGAAGGACGATCAGGGGGACAGGTGGGGCTCTCCTGCTCCTGACAAGGGACACGACAGGCTCGCCAGCGCGGTGCACGGTGGAATCCCAACTCCACTGGCGGTCTCATCTCAGTCTAGCGACCTGCCTCCAGCTTCTCGCTGGCAGTCTCTCGCTACCACAGGCACACTGACACAGGGGTGGCAGGGGCGGCGGCAGCCGAGTCACCCACATACATACTATGCGGGCCTCCCTCACTAGAGGTGCGGCCTGCGCGTGTCCTCGCCCTTGGGAAGGTCTTGAGGGGGAAGGGGAAGGCGCTGTGTGTCTGTGCATGCATGCCCATGCATGCATGCTACCCAACGCGGCCAAAGGATATCCACCTCGAGAACCTCGAGAGATGCATGCATGTGTGAATACCCCCATCCCAGGGCCTCCAGGGCTCGCACCTCAACCTCTCACAGACCAGCGCACAGCGCCACGCGCCGTATTTTCTTCTCAATAACAAGGCTGTATGTATGTATGTAGGAAGGTGAAGAACAGTCAGGCTCGGACTGGACACCAACCCGGTATGGGTGTGAAGTGTGTCTCTCTATCTACCGCGCACTTATTCTGCCATGCTCGCCACACTTCGGCTTCTCGCGGCGGCGACCGCGGCCTTCTCGCCAACGTACACGCCTCGCGCACGCCCGACGATGATGGCCGCCACGCTCACCGAGCAGCTCATGGCGAAGCTGCCACCCAACGTGCAGACGGGTGGTGCGGGCGGCGCCACCACGTATGACGCGCTGCTCCGGCTCGACGACGCCTGGAGCAGGCTGCGCGCCGGTGAGCTTCCGCCGGCCAAGCAGGTCGTCTTCGACGAGCCCACCGCAGCTGTGGAGACGGCAGAGTACGATCTCGTCGTTGCTGGCGGCAACATCGGCATCCTGCTCGCCACCGCGCTTGTGCTGCGCGGGCTGCGGGTGGCGGTGCTCGAGGGCGGTGATCTGCGCGGGCGCGAGCAGGACTGGAACGCGTCGCGCAAGGAGGTGATGGAGCTCGTGGAGGCGGGCGTGCTCTCGCTCGAGGAGCTCGACGAGGTCATCGGCATCGAGTTCAACCCCGTGCGCTGCGGCTTCCAGGGCGGCGCCGACGTGTGGCTCAACGACGTGCTCAACGTGGGCGTCCGGCCAGAGGCGCTTGTCCGGTGCGCGCGCGCGCGCTTCGAGGCGGCCGGCGGAGTCGTGCTCGAGAGGACGCCCCTTTCGACGGTGCGCGTGCGGCCCGGCGCGGCGGTGCTCACCGCCGCCGACGGGCGCGAGGTGCGCGCGCGGCTCCTGATCGACTGCATGGGGCAGCGATCGCCGATCGTCGCGCAGGTGCGCGGCGGCGCGCCGCCCGACGGGGTGTGCGTGGTCGTCGGCTCGTGCGCAGACGGCTACCCAAAAGAGTTGAACACGTTTGGAGACGTCATCTTCGCGGACACGCTCACCGAGCCCGCGGCGGGCGGCGCCGGCTGCCCAACACAGTACTTCTGGGAGGCGTTCCCGGCGAGCGCGAGCGCGACCCAGCGCACGACGTACCTCTTCACCTACATGGGGCTCGAGCCGGAGAGGCCGTCGGTGATGGACATCATGGAGGACTACTGGAGGCTGCTTCCACGCTACCAGGGCGTCGACCTCGACGACCTCACGCCGGAGCGAGTGCTGTTTGGGCTCTTCACCTCGTACAAGGACTCGCCGCTGCCCGTCCAGTTCGACCGCGTCATGCAGATCGGCGACGCGGGCGGGCTGCAGAGCCCGCTCTCTTTCGGCGGATTTGGGGCTATCACGAGGCACATCGGACGGCTCTCTGACGCCGTGGAGAGCGCTCTCGCCGCCGACGCGCTCTCGTGCGGCCAGCTGGGCCTGATCAACCCGTACCAGGCCAACTTGCGCGCCGCGTGGCTCTTCCAGGCGTCGATGCGCCCGCCGGTGCAGCAGGGCGCGTGGTCCGCCGACTTCATCTCGAAGGTCCTCGTCGCGACGTTCGAGGTGATGGAGGCGCGCGGGGAGGCGGTGATGCTCCCCTTCCTCCAGGACACGCTGCGCGTCGACGGCCTCGCGCTCACAATCGGCGGGCTGATGCTCTCGGCGCCACTGACCGCGGTCGAGATCCTTATCCGCCTCGGACCCGTCCCCCTCGCCGACTGGTTCGTCCACTTCGCCGCGATGGTCCTCGGCTCCGCCCTCGGCTCGGAGCAGAGCCGCGCGCTCGCCAAGGCTGCCGCGCCGCTGCTGCCGCCAGAGACACGATTCGAGCTCGATCGCGTTGTCGAGGGCTGGCAGTTTGGCAGCGGCTTGGACTACTCGCCGCCGCTCGCGCCCACACCCATGGATGCGGAGGCACTCGCAACGGCCAAGCGCGCGGCAGCGGCAGCGCGCGCCCACACGCCTAGAGGCGGACTCGCCGCGGCGGCGGCCGTGTTGTAAGAGGTCTTCGAGATCGTGAGTACGTGTATCACCATCACGTGTTGATTATGAGGTCTTGTGAGCAAGTCCTCCGTGTCTAGCGAGGTCTGAACGACAGGAACAGTTTTTTAGCTCTGAACAACAACAAGGCCGACGCCACACCCTGCACGCGCCACATATCCATGATGGCCACGCATCCCACTTCCCGCACACATGGCCACACATGGCACAAGATGGACATGGACATGGAAGTGTGTCGTGTGATGGGTTTCGTGTTCGGTGAACGGTGTGAGCGTCCCCTCTTGGTCCTCAGCCTATCCCTCCGCCGCGACGAGCTCAGAACGGCCACGGCACGCGGTTCTGAATCCTAGCGATGGCGCCCTTGGCCGTGTCTACGGTCGAGAACCACTGCGGCGCCGTCTGGCCGAGCAGCGCCAGCAGCTCCCGCAGCTCCTCTGTCGAGATATTTGCGGATGCGAAGCGATAGCGCAAGCGGTCCAGCAGCTGCGCCATCGGCAGAGCGCTTGCGGCGCACTCCGAGCCGCGCTCGCGGTGGAGGGCGGCACGCACGGCGAGCGCGATGTTGGGAAGTTGCCGCTGGAGGTTGGCGTGTCGCACCGCCGGCGCGGCTGCCGCGGCGCTCTTCTTCGCCGCCTCGCGCAGCATGATCTTCTCGACGAGCGCCGCCGAGAGGCCTGCGAGCTTCGGGTCCGTCGCGGGCTTGCTCGAGCCCACCGCGGCCGCCTCCGCTGCGTCCTGCACCCGAGATGCCTGCGGCGCAGCCGCGTGCTCTTGCGCGGCACCTGGCTGCGCGACCAGCGCCCCTGCCTCAGGCGGCCGGTGAGGGCGCGCGATCGGCCCGCCTCGGCGAGCCCGCTCTGGGAGCAGCGCCTTCGGCGGAGCGGAATCCTGCTCGGCGTGCACGTGCTGCAGCAGCCGCGCGCGCATCTCCGCGCGGCGAGCGCCGAGCCCGGCGGCGGCAGCGGTCGCCGCGGTGCGCGACTGCGCCGGATTTGAGAGGAGAGCGACCTGCGCTCGTGCGCCCAGGTCGGCGGGCGAGACGGGAGCCGGGGTGCTTCGCGCCGACGGCGAGCAGATGAGCCAGTCTTGCACCTCGACCGCGCCCGGAATGCGCGGACCTCTCGAAGGCGGCCACACCGCCGTCACGTCGTACGCCTCTGGCCACACGCCCAGGATGGACTGCAGCATCTCGGGCGGGAAAGTGCGGCCCGTCGCGCGCTGCAGGTGCGGCTGGAGGGCGGTGAAGAGCGGCTGGTCGCCCCGCTTCCCCTGGAAGAAGAGGAGCGTGCTCTCGACCGCGATGAAGGCCTCTTCAATCTGCTGCAGGTGCGCCGGGAGACGAGGCGGCGATATGGGACTCGAGCAACGCGCGACGGCAGGCGGGGCGCGGGCCGTCCGCGGGGTGCGCTCTGCATCGCCGCTCGGCGTGGCGACAGGCGAGTCCGGCTGTGCGGGTATCTGTGCGGGCAGCTTCGACTGCGTGAGGCCGTGTGCCAGCGACTGCATGACCGGCGTCAACGAAGCTGACCTTGACGCCCTCATGGCGGGTGCCGCAGACCGCCTCGGGGCGCACTGCGCCGGTTTGTCCGCCTCGCGCTCGCACCCACCCCCGCCCTGCGCCACGTGTGACAGCTCTGCGGAGCCGCTTCTGGCCTCGGCGCGCTCCTCGATCGTGACGAGGCCCATCTGCGTCGCTGATTGCGGCAGTTGAGCCGCTGCAGGTCTGGCAGCTTTCGCCACGCTCTTGGCACCGTCTCCAGGAGCGATGCCCAACGCACGGCGCTTCCGGCTACGCAGTCCGAGGTTCTGAAGAGTGCTCATCGGAATGTTATATCACGCGGTCTCGCGCCAGAACTGCGCGGCAAATTCTGGAATTCTTTTTGAGCTAGCCTTCGATGTTACGAAACAAACAGGCGGACACACGCATTACACATCGCTCTCGGCCCCCCACAGACATCCCGCACACCCGCCGCCCCCGCGCGCGCCCCACCCCGGCCGGGAGAAAGCTGAAAGGTGCTCAGTCGGAACACCGGTGTCGAGGTCCGTGGTAGAGCAGGCGGTGCAAGTGGCTGTCGTGCTCTCCTCAAGCGTGGAGGCAAGCAGAGCGCGGTGGCGCTGCGGCTAATGCTGGGGGATGCAGAAGCAGACGAGAGGGAGAGCGTAGCCAAGACGGTGATCGGTCTCCTGACACCGCACAAGGCCGACGACGCTCGTCAGCCTTGGGGCTGCTTCTCGGCCGAGCCCTTCTACGTGCACGGCCTCGAAGAGTGGAACATAGACCTTCCACAGCATCGGAACCAGTCCAGAAAGCCCTCAGATCGGAGCGATGTGGCGGAGCTGATGGCGTCCTTCCGCAAGCGTGCGGCGGCGTCTGGCACCGGGATACCTGAACACAAGCCCGGAGTCCGTGCGTCAGTCGGGATCTCGACGCCGAGCCCCAGAACGAGGCGGTCGGCGCTTCCCTCGCCGCGTCCGAGTGCCATCGAGCGAGTGGGGAGCGGGGGCGTCGTTCGGAGCCCGCGAGTCAGCCTCGAGCGCGCCAGCTCGGCCTCGGGCCGAGCCGAGCCGTCGCCAAAGCAACCACGCGACGCGCGGGCACAGCCCCAGACGCCGGGACAGCGAGCGACGGCGTGGGCCCAGACCGCACCCTGCTGAGAGGGGCGGGGAACCCGCCGGGGTGGACCTGCCGGTGGGGATAGAAGACAAGAGTGGTAGACGACGGCCTTCCAGATCTCCCCCAGCTGGGACGCCCGGCGCGCTATGGGAGAGAGACATGCGTTTCCGAATTCTGCGCTGAATTCTTAGGCGGCTCCCGTGGTGTACCCGTGTTAGTGCCAGTGCGCGCCAGTCCCCTTCGTTGCCAAATTCTTTTTCTTGCACTCGACGTAAAGGTCTTCTCTTATTCTTTTCTTTTTCTTTAGCGCTTGTCTGTCGTTCTCCACACCGCCGTGGCGTGGCAGACGGTGAACGAGCTAGCGTGCGGGGACAGCGGCATTGTGCACGGTGCCAAGTGCATTGCCGCTCTTAACGGAGTCGCTTAGGCGGCTCCGGTGGTGTGCCGGTGATAGTACTAGCACGCGCCAGTTCGCACCTGTGTCGAGCCTGTCTGCTGTGAGAGAGAGTTCTTTTGTTCAAATCCTTTTTCTTTTTCTTCGTGGAGAAGTCTCTTCGAAGTCTCGTCGAGGAGCGCCAGAGGAGCGCGTCCACACACACGCATGTACATATACATATGTTGCTTTGCCCGTTCGCTCGTCGTCCCTCCTCGCGCAAGAAGCGCAGCTGGCACTCGCGCCGATGGGAGATCAACCCGGAGAGGCTCCGGCGCGTCTTCGCCAAGCTTCCGGAGCCAGCCCGGGCCGAGCTGCTCGACCCGGACACGCTCACTCAGCTCGTTGCTGAAGGAGCTGTGCACGCGGCACTGCTGGGCGGCGGTATGGATGCGGCTGAGGCGGACCGCGTTCTGCGCCGCAAGCTGTCCCCTCCGTTCCTCGCGGCCGCCCTCGCCTTTTTCCGAGAGGCGCTCGCCGGCGACGAGCGGACACCGCCCGTGCTGCCTCGCGAGCTGGTGTACCACCAAGTGTTGCTGCCGCTGCCGCCCTCGATGGACCCGCAGAGGCAGGTGGACCCCGACGCGGCAGCACTTGTCACCGTTGCGAGGGCATGCAAGCTTCCGCGCGAGCGCCAGCCGCGAGAGGCGCGCGACGCGCGGCGGCAGAACCGCGTCTTGCGGCAATGCGATGGGTGCGGAGCATACAAGAGCTCGGTCGAGTTTTACGCCTGCTGCCTGCACGACGAGCAGCGCGTCTGCCGCGTGTGCATGCTGGCCCGGCCGGCCGAGCCCTTCGGGGAGCACCTGACGGAGGAGCGCCGCACTGCTCCCGTCCTCGCCCTCGCGTCGGCTCTGCTGGAAGCGCTTGCCGAGCGGGCGGCGCAGGCGGAGAGGCAGCTGTCCAGGGCGCAGGCGGGCGCGGGCGCCGCGTCTGCGCCTGGGAGCGGGGGGGAGGGGGGCGGCCCCGTGGGCGGCGCGGAGTGTCTGCCCTGCGACGAGCCTCCTCCGCACCGAGCCGCCGCCGCGCCCGGCATGCCTCGGAGCCGAAGCAAGACTGCCCTCGCTGCCGCCTCGGTGGCAGGCGCGGCTTCGGCGCCACGAGCCGCCGTCGCCGCAGACGCTCCCCTCGACACCCACAAGGCGGGCTCCGCCGCCTCCGCCGCCGCACCCGCGCGCAACGGAGCGACGCCGGCAGCCGCCGCCGCGACGACGGCGTCCGCGGCTCTCGTGCGTTTCGTCTCGCTGTTCGGGCGCGTGGGGTGGCGAGGAGCGTCTTTGGCCGCCGCCGGACTCGCCTTCACCTTCACAAAGTACCAGGTGGCCATCGGCGCGACCGCCTCCGTCGCGGGCGCCCTCCTCCTTCGCTCGACGATGGTGCTTGGTGCCGGGGGCGCATTCGTCCTGGCCCTGTGGCTCTTCCTGACCGTCCTGCTGCCGGTCGGCGTCGCCCAGCTGCACGCCGTCTTCCCTTCGCTCTTTGGCGCCGTCGCCGGCGACCCGGAGCGCTGGATCTTTGAGCTCCCCATCCCAGAGCAGCTCGCAGGCAAGCACGCGTTTGGCCGCCGCGCGCGCCGCGCCGCCAAGCGCTCAGCCGCGGCGGCGGCGGCGGCGGCGGCCGCCGCCGCCGCCGAGTGGTCCTTAGAGGAGGAGCAGAACGACCCCTCCGGCGCGTCGGCCGGGGCACCCACGGCCTCGCTGCCCGACGCCACCGGCGCGGCGGACGTCGGCGCGAAGGAAGCCCCTCCCTCCTTCTTCGAGCTGACGGCGAACACGCGCGCCGCGCTCGGCGTGGCCGGCGCCGCGCTGCTCCCGTCCATCACTCTGCTCGGCTCGCGAGGCACGCTGGCCGTCTCGCTCTGGATCGCCGCCGCGATCCTGCTACCGCTTGGGGTGGCGCGACTGCACGCGCTCTGCCCCTCCCTCTTTGGGATGGTGGCGGGCGACCCCCAGAGGTGGCTGTTTGAGACGTCGGCCAAGTCGATGGAGAAGACGCTGGTAGAGACGCGCGAGGCGATCGGCCGCCGTGCGCGCCGCGCCGCGAAGCGCGCTGAAGCGGCGGCGGCGGCGGCCGCCGCCGCCGCCGCCGCCGAGTGGAGCGCCGAGGAGCGGACAGACGATGAGTGGTCTGCGGACGATGACGACGACGCCCCGCCACCCGTGGCCTGGTGGGAGCCGCGCCGCCCGCCGCCCGCCTCGCACGCCGCGGCGCACGGCGCGAGGGCGACCTCAGCCGGCAGCCTCCACCGGCGGGCAGCGGCGGCCCCAGAGGTGTCGCTCGAGGGCGCCCCGCCGTCTCCGTTCCGAGGCGAGCCACCGGCGGCCGCCTCGGATTCGCCGCCCGCGTTTGCTGCGCCCGACGGCATGACGGAGGAGCAACAGCTCGAGTGGGCTGTGCGCGAGTCGCTGCGGCAGGGCGAGTTCGCGGCCGCCCCAGGCGAGGGCGGAGCCCCACGCGAGGGCGGAGCCAGCGACGGGGCGGCGAGCGGGGCGGTGGCGGCGGCGCCCTCTGTGAGCTCCGGCGGAGGCGGAGGCGGCGCTGCCAAGGCGAGGGAGGGCGACCCGGCCTCGGAAGGCGGTGACAGCGCAAAGGTCCAGATGTTGCAGGGCCAAGTCGCCTCTCTGCTCGAGGTCGTGGCGAGGCTCGAGGCCAAGGTCGAGGTCCTCAGCGGCGCAGACGGCCCGCGCGGTGAGGCGCAGCCGGCGCAGGCCTCACAACAGCCGCCGGTTGCCTCGGCTCCAGCGCCACCGGCGCCGCCGCCGCCGCCAGCACTGCCGCAAGGCGAGGACGCGAGCGCGTCCGTGGCTGCGCCCGCGCCATCGGCCACGCCCGTCTCCGAGGCGCCCCCATCGCCCGAACCACCGAGCAGCTACGCGGTGCACGGCGACGACGACTCGGGGTTCGAGAGCGAGAGCCAGGCCTGACTGGAGGCCTGATGGTGTGTGTGTTGCGGATCATGGTGTGTGCGGATCATGCTTCATGCGGCCGGTGAGCGCTGTGTGGCGCTTTCCCTCTTGGACGTGTGCCTCTAGTAGCAAGAGACGAACGCCACCACCCTCGCCCAGGGATTTACAACGCTGTCTTAAGGTCCGACCTGTGGGCTCTGCCTGCGCTCGGCACCGGGCACCGCCTCGGTATACAAAATGCCCCTGAGGCACTTGGAGCACTTGGAGTGCGGTCAGTAACCTCACGCCCAGGACCGGGGAGCTGAGAAGCGCACCCAGTTGGCCGGACGCTCGGGATCGGGCTCGTACGGGCTAGAGAGAGCCCTGACCCCTAGCTAGGGGGGTTGCGCGGTCGCAGGGCCATAACACGGGTCTCCGAGGGATAGTACCGCGCTCCGGGTTTCCCCTAGCAGCAGAACGCACCCTCTACTCGGAGCTAAAGAATACTCTCCGAGGGTTCCGTGTACCAGGTTTTCTCTGGTAGGACGGGAACGAGATGATAGTAGGGAGTAGAAGAAAGCAGAAACTGCGGCCGCCAGCGACAGAGCGTCTCGCTGGCGGACGGCGAGAGGAACACAAAGGGACGTCCGGACGTCCATCCACTGAATACTGGAGATCTGAGGTCGAATCTACCGATTCTACAGCCGCCCACAGGAGCGCCGCCTCAACACGGGGTCTCGGCTCTACCGAGCCATGCTAGCTCCAGCCGCAGCCCCACCCGGCCGCCCGAGGGTGTTCCCGCAGGCAGAGAAGACCAATCCTGGGGGAAGTAACCTCCCCTTAACTGCAGAACGCCCCCTCTACTCGGAGCTAGTGATTCGAGAATACTCTCCGAGGGTTGGCTCCGCGCTCCAGGTTCCCCCTAGCAGCAGACCGCCCCCTCTACTCGGAGCTAGTGGACGCGGACACGACACCTAGTGATGATAGCTGAATAAATAAATAAATAAAACGGGCACGCCAAACGAGGGGTGGGAGACGGACAGGGTCCCCACCTGCGCGAGCAGGATCTTGTAAGGACGATCAGGGACACAGGGGAAGGGGAGCGGGGAGCGCATCGCGACACGGAGGGGGGCTGGGGCCTGGGCAGGGTTCACCCACACGACAGGGTCCCAGGGATTCCATGATAGCACAGGCTGAATTTATTTCAGGGGAACGAATTCTCGCGGCTCCACGGCGCCCGGCCCCGCGGCCCCACAGCTTCGGCTCAACTGGCGCAAGAATTCGGCCTTTTCTCTGGCATGAAGGTGGCCTTTGAGCGCACGGAGCGCCGCAGCTCCACTGCTCGCAGCGCACGACGTGCTGGCTGCATTGTGTGCATCGGTGGTGGGCTGCTGACCAACCTGATCCTGCAATCGCATCTGCACAGCACCGACCGCGGCTTCCTCGGCGGCGTGATTCCAGGCCTCGGGCCAAAACGTGTCAGGAGGTGGCGTGCCGCTGTGCCCAACAACAGCAGCGGCGACGGTGGCGGCGGCGGCGGCGGCGGCGGCGGGCACCGCAAGAGTGCAGCCGCGGCTACGCCAGAGGACTCTGCTGATCGAGTGGGCGAAGAAGAGCTCGCTCTAGAGCAGACGATGCGGGAGTCGGAGACCGACCGGCTCGGCACAGCAGCAGCCAACGCCTCGGGAGTCGGCGCCGCCGCCGGCCCCGCCGGTGGCGACGGGGCCGGCGGGCGCAGCATTAGCACCAGCGGGTACGACGTGACGTTGGTTTCTCAGACCTCAGACGACCGCGCGTGGATGGTGGTCCACCTGGCCAAGCGGTGGGGCGGGCCCATCTCGATCGCGATCTTCTGCGTCGAGCCCGAGGAGCGGTACATGCAGGCGGAGAGGAGGCGGCTCGCGGGCATCGCGCGGCAGCCAGGTCGAGCGCAAAGAAGCTCCGCGCTCTCCCGCGCTCTCCTCCCGGGGGCCCAGTCGCCTTGTGCACGGTCAGGACCGGCCTATTCCCCTCCCCGCCTCTCCTTTGCAGGCTCGAGCGTCGCCGAGGTGCATGGCAAGGCATCTGCCGGCTACCCCGTCAACTTTTTGCGAAACACTGCGATCGCGCGCGTGCAGACCTCGCACTTCCTCCTCACAGACATCGACCTCTGGCCGTCGACCGACAGCTACAACGAGGTGCTGCGGCAAGGTGCTCGACCCGGCCACCCCCTCCCCACACCGGACGCACCCTCCACTGCAACGGCGGCCGCACGATTCCTCTCCGACAGGCGCCGCCTTTCTGAGGCAGCGAAAGCTCGCCATGGTCCTCCCTGCCTTCGAGTACAACGCGGGGCACACCGACTACGCCTCCTCCGCCTCGCGCGCCGCCCTCGCCAGGGCGCTCTCGCCGGCGCGGCAGCCACCAACGGTCCCACCTCCTCCCCCCTCACCGCCGGGGCTGCGAGCGCAGGACTTGCCGGACACCTTCGCCGCCCTCCGCGACTGCGTGTCGGGGGCGCAGGACCCAAAGCGCACCTCGCCGCCGCGCTGCTCCACCTTCAAGGCGCACTCGGCGGGACCCGCCCCACTCGCGCACCCACGAGCGACTGCTTTCGAGTGCCGCCCCCCTCCCAGGCACACACGGACACCCACCTCTCCACTGACTACCCGCGCTGGTGGAGGGCGACGTGGCCTTCGCTCATTCCTTGCTTCAAGTCGCTGCGATACGAGCCGTACCTGGTGTGCTACACCTGCGCCCGAGCCTCTCGAGCCTCTCGTCGCTTGCTGATCGCTGCGGGACCCACTACCGCCCCGTTTCGCAGGTGGTGCCGCGGCTAGACACGACCCCGGGTGAGCGAGACGCTATCACAGACGCGGGTAGCGAATTGTGGGTCGCCGCGAATAGCTGCACGGCAGCGCGCCCCCGCGGTGTCAGGCTTCGACGAGCGCTTCGTCGGCTACGGGAAGAACAAGATCGAGTGGATACAACACCTCCGCTTCCTCGGTGCGCGCTCCGCCTCCCGCCCGTGCGTGAGGCCACCCGGGCGCACCGCAGCCCGCACGCAACGCAGGCTTCGTCTTCTACGTGCTGCCGCGCGCCTTTGTCGTCCACTGCCCCCACCCGCCCTCCGTCTCGCGCCAAAACTGGCAGCTATTCCGCGACAAGAAGGACGAGCTCTTTCGCAGCTTCATCCGCGAGCACCTGTGAGCCTCGCCCCGCCCTTCCTCCCCTGGCTCTCGCCTCACTGGCGCCCGCCGCCGCAGGCGCAACGCATCCATCCGCACACGCATGTGCGAGGATGCCAACTTCAACGGCATGGTCCGAGAGTCGGCCGCGCTGCGCCAGGGCGATGAGCGCCCAGCGACGTCGGACTCGGCTGTGCCTGGGGCCAGCTTGGCCAGTAGAGGGCGTTCCACTGGACGGTGATCAATACACATCGGCGACTACGTGAAAGACGTACCACTCGTTGCGTCCAATAGATACCGAGAAAAACGTACAGAAAAGTCAAAAGAGGTTCTCATTGCGTGAATAGCTGATTTATACTTTATGTGGTTAGTGCCGACTCCACGTGGCTCGTGGGTTATAAAAAAGAGCTTAACTCACTCAACCACGTGCATGCAATGCCGACGAGTGGGGCTACAAACTTGCCAATATGCAATTTGGACAAGCTTGTATGGCAGCCAGCTCCGCAGCCGAGGCGCTCGGCCGTGCGTGGGATGCGAACACGGTCAGTACCCCTCGATCCTCGTGTCGGCTCCCGAGCGCCGAGCCCCAACCCCGTGCGCAGCGTGGGTGTGCGTGCGGGCCCGTCCTCCGTGCTAGGAGGTGTGTGTAACACTGACTGACTGACTTTGCTGAGACCTGAGTGAGCGCGCTCTCTCCACGTCGTGTGTGTAGTACACATCAACACACCACATAAACTGTACAGTTTCATCTCTCTTGGACTTGTCGTGTGTCTCCTGTGTGTGTGTACGGCGTGGGTTTCTGTCGCCCAGTCCCGGAGGCACGGGAGAGAAGCAAAGCATATCATACTTCATATTCATTGCACACAAGAGACCAGGCCCCTACTGCACCTACGCTGGAGGTGGTGGGGCCAGCGTGGGGAACACCCGGTAAAAGTTCTCGAGCTGCAGCTGCTGTAGTTGAATTCGCAAGACGCCCACTTCCCGTTGGCACGTGGTGGCCGCTGCCATTGCGAGGTCCCGCTCCTGCACGATACGTGTCAGTTCCACACGCAGCTCTTCGATCTGGGACACATGTTCACCGCAAGGCGCAGTGGGAGGAGGGGCGGCCGGCGGCGGAAACGGAGGCGGCGACGGGGGGTCAAAGAGGGTGAAGCCGTCCAGGTCGGTGCCCACGCCCCCGTATGGCACAGATACAACTGTGGGAGTTTCGCCCATCGTCTGCACGAGCCCAGGCGGCAGCGTGGACGTGTCAATGGTGACGGTCCACTCGCCGGGAAGGAGCTCCTGAGCGTAGTTGCCGTCGGCGTTTGTGGTGACGGTGTACGTGACGTCTCCCTTGGTGATGATGACGGTCACGCCTTCGAGGCCCTCGTCGTCGATGTCGGAATCGTAGTATCCAATGAAGCCCGCGTCCATGAAGATCGTGCCGCTCAGAGACGAGGGCTGCGTGAAGCCGTCTAGGTCCCTCCCCACCCCGCCGGGTGGCACCTCGACGATTGTGGACTCGGCGCCGAGAGTCTGCCTCAGCGACGGCTTGTTCAGCAGAGCGAAGGACCGTTTATCGATGACCACAGTCCACTCGCCCGCCGACGGCAGCTCCTGGCTGTAGAAGCCGTTCGCGTCGGTGACGACGGTGTAAGTGACTTGTCCGTTGGTGATGAAGACGGTCACGCCTTCGAGGTACTCGTCGAGGCCTTCCGTGAACTGCTGGTCGCTGTCTTTGTTCTCGAAGACGTAGCCCTCGATCATCGGGGGCGGTGGCGAGGGAGATGGCGGCGAGGGAGGCGGCAGTGCTGGCGGCGGGAATGGTGGCGGCGAGGGCGGTGGCGGTAGAGGGGGAGTAAAGGGCCGGAATGCAATAGGCTTCAGTGATTTTGGATCCTGATACTGCTGCGCGTTGCCAATTAGCACGGGCCACTCTGCGCGCGCGGCGGTAATTGCCTGACCCGAGGAGCCCACGCCCTGTGACCAGACGTGCTGTCCATAGTGCGGAATGGTGTCGTCCATGTCGTCGCCGCACGCAAAGTCGACCCGAACCCCACTTGCCCGCATGTCGACCACCGCATCGTACCCAAGCACCATAATGACAGCATCACGGTCGCCAACCTGGAGACCGCTTATGTAGCTCGCCACATCGGACGGCGTTGTAAAGCGCAAGACCCCGTACACCGCCTTGGCATCAAAGACCGTCTTGTTGATGGCGCGGTAGCGGTTGTTGATACCTTCGTTTAGGAGCTCCTCCTGCCTTTGGTATACGACTGCACGCCTCGTCATCACAGACGACGAGAGAACCAGCGGTCTGCTGCCCTGCATCACCGCAGGGTCGTCGGTGAAGACAGCTCGGCCGCAAACCTCGCCAATCGCGTAGTTTTCCGAGCCGACATAGCTGAGCACTCTCGGGTTGTGGTAGCTGTCAGTGTTGGTCGTCACGATCGGAAGGGTGGGGCGAAGGTTCAAGCAGTCGTTGATGGCTTGGTCGACCTCCTCGTAGCCCTCGCCTTTAGGATATGGGACGGTAACAACGATTGCGTCCTCCGACGGGTCCTGCTTCTCGCACGCCTCCTTGATGGCAGCGACATGGCGAGACACGTCGTATGCAGTGGCGACATACGTGTGAGTAAAGTCTTGCGCCGCCGTCGTCGACGCTTCTCTCCACCTTGACCAAAATGGCGAGTCCTCGTATGCGTGCGTGATGGTGGTGAGGCGGAGCGGGCACGACGCAGGCGTGTAAGGGTGTGTCAAGAAATCGCATGGCTCCGTCTCGGCCTCCGCGGCGCACAACCCGTTTCCGCTGGCTGACGTAGCAAGGCCCGAGGGGATGTACTCCTCCTTGATGATGGTTGCGTACTGCTGCATAGCCGCCGCGGCCCCCTGTGTGTACGGTGTCTGGCCGTAAAAGGGCAGTGTGGTCCTGTCTTGATCGTCGCCGCACTGGAAAGATGGGGAGATGCCCTGATCGATGAGTGCTTGCGCCGCGTCCACCCCGAGAGCGATGATGAAGTTCGAGGTGTCGAGTTCATTTTGATTGCTGACGACTCCGACGGTCGATCCGTCGCACACGCAATTGCCCCATCGAAGGTCATACTCCGTGTCAAGAGAGCACCAGGCGATGTTGCCGTTGTCGACCTTTGTACACTCGCTGTACGTTATACCCTTGTACTCGAACGGGAAGGTGCACAAAGACTCCTCGTCTGCTGTCCCCCCAGTTGTCGTGACCGGCTCATCGGAAGGGCCGCAAATCCTGTTGGTGCCCATCGCGTCCACGATACCCTTTGACCTCATGACGATCCCGGTATTGTTCACCTCCCTCGCCAACAAGTATATTTGGTAGATGGGAATCTGAGTTAAGCGCAAGGGCGATGTGGTCCAGAAGGACATCGCATTTGCAGTGCTTGTCGATGACTTGCCCTCAAGCGCGGAATCCAGGTCGTTGCTGAGGATGAAGCGGCCGCACACCTCGCCCATTTCGTAACTAAAGCTCCCAGCGTAGCCGCTCCAATCATTGGCGACCTTTGGGATCGGTTCATACTCGCTCGGCGCGTAGTTGTCACTACCGTATTTCCAGGCCTCGTCAGTGTTGGTGAGGTAAAACGTCAGGCTGGACTTCGCGCAAGAGTTGATGGCATTGATCATTTTCGTCACGTCTTCCGGATCCTCATATGGGACGGTGACGATTATGGCGTCTGTGCGAGCATCTTGGCACGCTGCCTGGATCTCTTGCACGGTTTTATCAACTTGGTAGCCCATTGTCAGGAAAATCAGCTCCGTTGTGCACGGCGGGATTGCGTTGACAGCTCCATCGGCCCACGTATTCCAAAACTTGCTGTCGGGATAGCCGTGCACGATGGCGTAGATGACGTGCTCGATGGTCTTACCGCTGCAGTCGGGGCAAGGTGGTGGCGGAGAGGGCGGTGGTGAAGGTGGCGGTGGGGATGGCGGCGGCGGCGGCGGCGAGGGCGGCGGGGGCGAGGGTGGAGGCGGCGGCGAGGGTGGTGGCGGCGAGGGGGGCGGTGGTGGTGAGGGCGGCGGCGGCGAGGGGGGTGGCGGCGGCGGCGAGGGGGGCGGAGGCGAGGGCGGTGGCGGCGGCGAGGGCGGCGGTGGCGAGGGAGGCGGCGGGGGCGGCGAGGGCGGCGGGGGCGAGGGCGGGGAGGGTGGTGGCGCGGGAGAGGATTTGGGCCGAGTCGGCTAAGTGTCACGATGCCAAA